GTTTTTGAACCTCGACCACGCGAATCTCCGCAGAGGGTCGCAATCCCGAGCGACGATCAAACTCCCGCCCCGGCGCCTTAGAAACCTAAACTAACTTACATAGCTGCTAACGCCGAAGCTCTAAGCTCTACCTAACCTTGGCTCTATGTAACTTGGCTCTATGTAACTTGGCTCTATGTAACTTGGCTCTATGTAACTTGGCTCTATGTAACTTGGCTCTATGTAACTTGGCTCTATGTAACTTGGCTCTATGTAACTTGGCTCTATGTAACTTGGCTCTATGTAACTTGGCTCGATGTAACTTGGCTCGATGTAACTTGGCTCTATGTAACTTGGCTCTATGTAACTTGTCCAAGGGCTCCGCATGGAAGAACCCTTCGCGATGCTTTCGGGAAAAAAAGAAACTTGCAGATTGCTTGGGCAGTGCAGTGTTGAAACATGGGCAGACAGGGGCTGCAGATTTGAAACGTCTTGCAGTGTTAGTGTTGGAGCTTGGGCAGACAGAGCTGCAGTTTTGCAACCAAGGCCAGCAGTCATTTGAACCCTTGCAGATTGGCAAGTTTGAACCAGCGGTAAGAAGTCTGGCAGTGTGGGGCCTAAAGTCCTGGTTTGTTGGAGCTTCGGCAGCGCTAGAACTGCAGTTGCAGTCACCCAAGTTTGTTGAGCCCATCGCAACTCTTGCAAATTTGCAACCTTGCCATGTGTAGCTTGGCAGCCTTGGTACGAAGTCTTGCAGCGTGGAGCTTTGGCAGAGATAGAACTGCAGTTGCAGCCATCCAAGTCTGTTGAGCTCATGGGAACCCTTGTCAAATTTTCAACCTTGCCAAGTGTTGGAAGTTTGACAGTCCTGCGACATCTGCAGTTTTGCAACCTTGCCAATTGTTATTTGGCTGGTGCTGTCTTGGGCTGTTGGGGTGTTGGGACGTTGGGTGTTGGGCTGTTGTTGGGTTGTTGGGCGCTGGGCTGTTGCTGTTGAGTTGTTGGGGTGTTGGGTTGTTGAGTTGTTGGGCTGTTGCGCTTTCAGTTGCTGGGTTGTTGGGTTGTTGGGTGGTTGGGTGGTTGGGCTGTTGAACTTGGCTCTGCGCATTCAATTTGCTGACGAGCTGGCAACACCAGCAACCAACAACAACCAGCCAAACGGCTAACAGCCAACATCCAGCAGCAGCCAACCAACAGCTAGCAGCCACACAACCAACACTCAACAGCCAGCAAGCAACAACCAACAGACAGCCAGCAAACAGCAACCACCAACAGGGCTTCTATTATGTTGTCAGCACTTGTGTTGTTCGCACGGTGTATTGTTTTCTTCTGTTATTTTCATTCTTCCCAATATGATAGTTCATTGAGCATGATTTGTTTGGAAAAACGCTGGTGCGTTTCGCGTCGCTCCTGGAGAGAGTGGCCAACAGCCCTACAATCAGCCGTGCCAGCTCAAGAAGAGAAAGGATAGGTGTCAAAACAATCCTACGCAATGCTGCCATTCCTGATGTGGCTTCTTTTCGTTGTGGTGATGGTTGGGGGTAGTGACACAGACGACGAGGATCTGCTACCTTATCAGGCGCCGCTGCCTGTTTGCCACACCCTTTTGGCCCAGGCGGTGGCGGCTGCGGCCCCAGAACCAGAACTGCGCCTGAGGCAGCGCGTGATGTGGTTTTGTATGGCGGCGAGGACATGCCAGGAAGTCCGAGCTACGAGCCCTCTGAAGCCGAAGCAGGCAACCCGGTCTCACCAGACGATGCGTTCCTTGCAGCAGAGGCGCTTGGCGTGGACATGGGGGAGCTTTTCGCAAACCCTAGCGCTGAGTGGGCAAGTTTGGTTGGGCAGCGGTTTCGACACTGCGCCCAATTGAGCACAAGCTGGTGGGGACCGGCCGCTCTTTGAGGACTGCCGCAAGGATGCAGGGTGCTGCGCCTGGCTTCGCCAACGCAAAGAAGAATGTGAGCGGCTGGCCCTGGTGTTTGACGAATTTGCTTGCCACTATTGGAAGTGTTACCAGCACTTCCGCGGCATGGCCGCATGCCTATACTGCTTGGGTGTTCACACCAGGAAGGGCCCGGCAACCAAGGTCACAGACAAGCAAGTAAACTTGGCAAGCCCCTGGACCCAAACCCGTTTTATCTTTGCAAATAATCTCCTCCTGAAAGAACGCTGAAGGCGCCTTTCCTGACGCGCGGCTTGTCCAACGGGGTTGGTTGCGTTCTCTTAAAGGTTGCTTTATGCGTTTGTTGTTGCTTTCCCGGGTTGGCTCCCGCAGGAAGCGTCCCTTAGGTTGTGAACACGGGCGTGGCCGTTTTTGCAAAAGGCATCGCGGAAGGGGTTATTCCCATAAACTTGGGCGACAAAGCGAGGGGGGTGCTGGGGGCAAGGTTGGGTTGGGGACCGGCATTTCTTAGTCGCTCGTATCATGTCATGCCGGAGCAGGAAACCAGAACCCAGACAATGGCATAGTGATCACTTCGCATCACGCTGCACGCTGCCACCTCGCAGATAAACACCAACCAGCAGGATATGACGCAGAGTCGCAAATGTAAGTTACAGGACGCACCGAACATACAATACATCCACACCATATTTTGTCTTTCACACATACACGTCAAACATGACATGGCCTTTCAGACCTAACACCTTCGGCTTTTCACCCTTTGGTTCCTTTCCTATTTCTAGTTTTTCCTTGATTTCCCATTCTCATTTGCTTCTTACGGATTTTCTTTGATTTTCTTTCCTTGGATTTCCGTTTCTTCTTCATTTTCCTGGTCTCCTCATTTCTCCTCTGCTTCTACCCCTCCCCCCCCCCCCCCGCCCGCAGGCCGTGGGTTTGCCCTACACGGCGGGCGGTGCAGCCGCTTCCGACGCCGCTTCCGCTCCGCGGTGCGCCAACGAAGCCTCCCCGAGCACGGCCGCCAAGCCTTCAGAGATCTCCAACTTGTGAGCGATGACGCTCTCAGCTGGCGACGGATCTCCCGGGACGATTCGAGAGAGGGGAGGAGAAGAACATCCTCAAATGGGGAGCTAAAGAGCTCAACACCCGGAAAAAAGAGAAGGGTGAGAAAGTGCACCCGAGAACAGAGTGCCTTGGGCCTGTGTGGCCCGCAAAATCTCGGGCTTCTTTGGCTCCTCAACACATATTTTAGTGGTGGCTGTCACTCTGGGCAGGAGATTTTCCCTGGGGCTAGGGCCCCAGTGCCACATTTTGCAGACGCCTTGCTCCTGAAGGAGCGGATGGTTTTCTCAGCTTCGTCCAGCTCGGCTCGAAGAGCTATGGCATTCCTTCATGTGAAGTCACGGAATGTGTTCTGCGTCCTTGTTGCTGTGTAATTTGTGGCCTGGTTGTCTTTTATTCGAGCAGCAGGAATAAATCCAATCTCAGGTCGCAGCAGAGGTCGCTCTAAACGTGAAGGGACGGGGCTGAAGTTTCCTCGCAAGTCCGAGCTCTCTTAGAGAGGCGGCTTGCGTTCAGGCCTAGATATTTCAAATTAAGCGCGCTAGCGCAAGGCTGCCGAAGGTCTTGGAGCCAGTGCGAAGTTTAAGAAGCAGAGCGAATGCGCGACGCGACGCCCCGGCCGGCGAGTTGCCAGGCGAAATCCCAGCTTCATGACACCCCCCCCCCCCCGGAGGGATCAATTTGGGGACCGCTGTGACCGGCTTTTCCTAGGATAGGCGGCCATGATGTTTGAATTCAGAAGATTTGTTTCTCTTCCAGCAGTCTCGGTTTCCTTTCTATGCCCTTGAACATCCAAAGGGCGTCTATCCATTTTGAGGGCACCCAATTGGAGACCATCCGCAAGACTTCCCTGGTTTTGATACACTCAGGTGGTTTTCGAGAGCGCACCACGGGCCTTCGGGTGGATCAAGAGGAGTGAAGGACGCACACGGATTAAGTTGCAAGGAAACGGGGATTTTCTCGTGTGGCCGTCCATTACTTACATCCTATTGCTTGTTGATTTGATTTTCAACCTTGCAACCTTGTGGGCCTTCCATGCACACCATTCTCGTTTTTTGTTTCCTTTTTTTTGTTTATGTTTCTTTTTTTCTTTTTAAAGTTATTTATTTGTTTAGTTATTTGTTTATCTTGTTTTCTTTCCTTTTGTGTGTTACTTACTTATTTATATCGTTTATCAGTATTTATATATATACACATACATTGTGTTTAGTTTCTTGTTTAAATATTTGTGTATTTATGTTTTTATTTGCGACTTTATTTATTTCCCGTTTGTTACCTCTGTTTTCGTTCTTAACAAGTGCTTGTGTCTATGATTTTCAAAGTATGTTTTACTGTATAGCGGTTTTGTTTGTTTGTTTATTTCTTGTTTGTTCATTGTTTTGTTTGTTTGTTTGTTTGCTTGCTTGCTTGCTTGTTTGTTTGTTTGTTTGTTTGTTTGTTTGTTTGTTTGTTTCTATGTTTTTGTTTGTTTTATTTTTTGCTTGTTTATATTTTTTGTTTGTTTGTCTGTTTGTTCTGTTTGTTCTGTTTGTTCTGTTTGCTTGTTCTTTAGTGCACTGATTGTTTGTTTGTTTGCCTGCTTGCCTGTGTTGGTTTGTTTGTTTGTCTGTTTATTTCTTTCTTTCTTTCTTTCTTTCTTTCTTTCTTTCTTTCTTTGTGTTTGTTTGTTTGTTTGTTTGTTTGTTTGTTTGTTTGTTTGTTTGCTTGCTTGCTTGCTTGCTTGCTTGTTTGCTTGTTTTGTTTACCGATCTATTCTTTTTATTTTTATTTTTTTATTTTATTTTTTTTCCGTCCGTCCGTCCGTCCATCCATCCATCCATCCATCCATCCATCCATCCATGCATGCAGAAGCTGCAAACATGATTCAGTTTATTCAATTCAGTCAATTAATGAATCTCATTCAATTCATTTTTGCTTTGAAACATTCAACACATTCAATGCACTCATTGGTCTTATTTTATTTGTCTGCCTTCTTTATTGACTCATTTACCCACATATACACATATTATAAAAATACACACGCACAATCAGAAGCTTTTTCGCCCGGCCATTCGCTCAGGCCATGCAGGAGAGGCTTGCGGCGCTTCTTCTTGAAGTGGAGGGTCAAGACGGAGGCTTGCACTGGGCATGGCTAGCCGTTTGGGGGTAAAGAAGATCCCTTTTAAGTGGGGCTTTTGCTGGTGAATGCACACAAATCGCTGATTTGTGCGCTCGATTTTTCGGAGAGACATAGAACAGTAATTGTCCCCAGAAACCCTTCAAAGAGCCACGAATCTAAGAGCCTTTCCCTTAAAACCTCTGGTTTTCTCTCTATTTCAGGGTGCCTTCTCCGGTCTTCTCCCCTCCCTCCCTCCCTCCCCCTCCCGCGCACCTGTCCCTCCGCCTCGCCAGATGGAAGAAAGAAGCTGAGCCCCGAGGAGATCGAGCGGAAGAGGAAGGAAGCTGAGGAGCTAGGCGCAGGGATTTTCCTTTGCGGGAATCTCCATTTGCTGGGTTTTGGGCTACCCACATGGACTGGACCTGTAAAACACAAAACCAAGTTGGGGGTTCCTCCATTTGCTGAAGAACATTTTTTATTCTTCCTTGTTGGTTTTGTAGAGGGAATCTATCACTACTGGAGATATTTGATTTTTTCCAGGGGGCAAATCGAAGGTGAGTCTCCGTTTGGGTTTTGCGGGGTTGCCCAGTCTCCGTTTGGGCTCCCCACTTTTTTCCCCCTCAAAGGGTGGCTTAAAACAGCCCCTTTTGGCCAATATGAGTTGCGAGTCTTCTCTTGCGGTGATGTTAGGGGGAGTTACAGAGCCCTTTGGAATGGATCTGAAAGGAAATCGCCAGTTGGATGCTTCAGCTTTCCCCCAAGATGATTTGAGGTGTCCGTTCAAATGCACCCCATGGCAGAAGATACCGGTCTGAATTGAACGTAGGACCCATGGACATCGCATCATGGGGATTCATGTCTAGCCGGAGTCGTGCTCCCGCATGTACATTGCCGCAGGGGAGAAGGCTCGAACTCTGTCGAAGAAGGACTTTCGACCGCCTGGATGTGAGGCGTCCGACGGGTGTGCCCCTCCGTCCGTCAGGAGCGCGAAGAAATGAACAAGACCCGGAAGGCCAGGTGTGGATTCAGCCACGCATGCTCGCATCCCGGAAAGTGTTCGTGCATATTCCGAAACCCCGTGTGGTGTCTTCAAAGGTCGGCCTCCCTTTGTTTCCTTTTGAACCAAGCCCAAAAAGCGTCCTTCATTCAAATTCATGCCCTTGTGGAGGGAATCGAGGGTTGGGGGTCTTTCCTTTGAAATTATTTTCTTTCAGGCGGGCCTTGACGACATGGGGACTCGTTCAAACGGTTATTATAATCTGGTTCCGATCGCTTGCCCCAAAAAGGACCATCATGTCTTTTCCTCCTTTTTTTCTCCGCATCCGAAAGGAACCCATTTCAACCCATTGCGTGTCACCAGCTCGTTGTCTTGGATTCGGAGATCTTCTAACAGGGCTTTCCCACGTCCCCGTGTGAAACCTGCAAAAGTGGATCAGCTTCAATATAAACACCACTGGCAAAATTGATTCACAGGGGAAATCCGGCCCTCTCGCTGAGGAGAAGGCGGGCCACCGCCTGGCCAAGACGGGCTCGAAGAGTCGGAAGTTCGAGGGCGATGGCGCCACCTCCAAGGACGTCGCGGAAGGATTTGTTGTTTTCTTGCGAAATCGGTAGGGGGTTGAGGAACGGAATGAAGCGTTTCGGGATTCCCGCAAGGAAGCCATAGGATGGATGGCTTTTCTTGGGGCCATTCCAATTCTCATTCCCTGCCGAGCTCCGAGCTTTCTCCTACGGCTTCGAGTTCGAACACCCCGACGTGAAGCATCCGAGGGATCAGTTTCTGGTTTCATCTCGCGAAAGGTGTCGAGCCCAAGGAAGGGAATGGGTTCGGAGCCCGAACTGAAGCATCTGGTGGTTTCGATGCTTTAAGGGAACCCAAAATCACAACACCTCTAACTCCAAGTCTTTTGTTCCACTGTGGGGAGTTTGCTCCAATGGGGGCCCAAAGAAAGCTGACATTGCCAGCTTTGGGTTTTGCCCTGTTGAACTTGACAGGAGGAGAAGAAGAAGAAAAACCAGCAGAACGTGAAGAAGCGTGCCGGGCTTTGTTGGCTTCTGTTTTTCTTGAGTCCTTGTGTCAGGTGCATGCAGCCTGTGCCATTTGTCGATGTTCTTTTAACAGTTGGCGCCCGTTCAAGGTCGGTTTACAGCGACGCCAGCAAGCAAGCCACCATCTTTCGGGATCCAACATTCCCTATTTTGACACCCATTTGCAGGAGACCCGGTCATGGCTAATTCTCAGTGCCCAATCCTAGGTTTTGGGATCGCCTGAAGTTGAGTTGAGCAGAGGTGAGCTTTGGCATTGCAAAGCAGGCCCTTGCAAGTGGATTGGACGTGGGAGATTCCTGTGACGCTGACTATAGTGGGCCCAGCCGAAACACGTGCTAAAATGAAGGAATGTGCGGTTTGTTGGATGGTTCCGACCGGGAAAAAGAGACGGACAGAAGCAAATGACAGCAGCAAGATCAGCGGATCGTCTCATGCGTCAGCTTCCCGGCGACTTCTCATTTTTGGTCGGCGTTGACCGTCTTGAGAAGCATGTCCCAACGAAAAGACAAAGGCGCAGCAAAAGACTGCGGCGCTGAATTCTTTAATGCCTAGGTGTGTTTGTGCATATCCCCTTTACCCCTTGGATAGCTGACCCTGAACAGCTTGCTGTTACATGTCTTCCTAAAACCTTTTCTCTCTCTCTCTCTCTCTCTCGATGCATAGTGACGTGGAATCGTAATCAACCAAGGGGGTGGGAACATGCGGTATGTCGTGCGCTTAGAGAGTCACATGGCCCGCCTAATGAATTTGGCGATTTGGCCTTCAGCTTTGCCATCTGTGTACAGAGGCTCGCTGGCGCAAAGAGGGCCTTTGGCGCACTCGAGGGAAGTCCAGCGGCAAAATGGGCGAAGCTGTGAAGGCTTCCCGATTGATTACCCGCAGGTAGACTTAGACTTAGGTGGATTTCAAAGGGTATCCCTTGCGTTCGAGTATTATGTCTCCTCGGTGGTAATAGAGGGAATGGCATGCGTGAGTGACGGTTGGTAGAAAGGGCTTTCATGGTCTGAGAAAAGCGTTGCCACGCCGCTTTTATGACTGTTCCGCTTGCTTGGCGCCAACTGAACATTATTTTTATTGATTTAGCCCTCCTTCGCTTGCCTAAAGGAACTTGCGCCATCAATTTCCGGGTGAACCACCCACATGTAGAAGCATATTGGGTGCCAGCCGATCTCCGGCTTGGGCGGGGGGGTAGCGCGCGCCCCCGGCGCCGGGAAGGCCCCGCGCGCGGGGGGGGGGGGGGGTTTGGGCGGTTTGGCGGTTTGGCGGTTCTTTGGGCTTAAGGACCCATTCCAATCGAGTTGATTTCCCGAGTGTCACAGCTCAATTCCTAGGAAGCCTTGTTCAAAAAGAGGCGACCAGGAGAACCAATCAACGGCAGGTACTTCTTTTGAGGCGCGCCATGTATGTAGCTTGATTCCAGCGGGGTGCGCGCCCAGTTCAGGCGACCTCATGGCGCTGGAGTTCTTCGACAGGCGGACGGACTCGCGCCTTGTTTTCCAGCCCACTCGAAGGCTGCACAAATTGCATAGGCGTTTTTTGCATAGGTTCCACTGGTTTGGATGGGTTTTCTTCCCTTTGCCAGAGCCATCCATTTTTCCAAAAGGCCACCTATGGTTTTTTGGGGTGCCTTGGAACGCACTTCTTCGCCAGCTAAATCAATTTGGGGTCAATAGGCCCAGATAGGCCGAAAGGAGCGGAGAGGGGATGGGTTGCGGTCGATACCAGGGTTCCACTTGTTGACTACCCCAAGATAGACTTAAACCCAGGGGTGGTTCATGCCTCCCAAAAAGACAACCCCTGGATTTAAGTCTATCTTGAGGTAGTCAAAAAGTGGAACCCTGGTTGATACAACCTGGGCTCGGCGGATGCAAGTAGCAAACACGCCGAAGATCAAATAGGAGATGGGCATGTGGAAAGCAGAAGATCATCACCGGAAGAGCGTGAGAATATACCCTTTGCAAAACCATTGAATTGTAAATTCGGTCAACATGTCCAGTAATCTATGGTCCATTTGGGAGGGGACTCTTCCTCACAAAAACCAATCGCCAGTTTCTGTTGGAGCAGTCTCATGGTTTTGGAACCCAAAAAGCCAACTGGAATCGGGACATAGAGCCCTTTTGGGCTTCCATCTGGTCGGCCCGGTGGAGGCTGCCAGTGCGGCTGACCAGGATTGAGGACGGGATTTGGAGAAAGGACAAGCTGGAGCCAAAGAAAAGGCTAGCCCCGGATTTTCTCGGGGTTTCTGGATGATGTCTGGAGGTTTGGAGGATAGATGGCACCTGTTTGATTTTGTTTGACACGTGGAGATATGTTTGCGAAACCAAGACTCTAGGTGTGCACGCGCACGCGCTACACAAGGAGAGTTCCGAAGTCAAGTCCTTTTCGCCTCGCCGCCACAGACCCTTGACTAATTCGATTTGCAGCTCTTGGGGGAAGCGCTACAAGCGCATGACATTCCATTGGGGAAGATATATGTCCACCAACCACTTTTGAGGGGTTCCATATTAAAGTTCATTCCCAATTGTTGAGTTCTGCCAAATTTGCGCGGGGAAAGCTCAGTTTGTTTTGCAATCGTGTGCTGGGAGCATGTGTGCCATGGTCAAACCACCCCGATAGTTAGGAGTAATAGGGCCGGTGATGGACTCCTTTGTGTGAACCTTTAAAAGAGGTTGAATCCTTTGAAACCATACCCAAAAGTTGGGTTCCCGTAAGCAACCATCGCCCGTTGATTAGCCGAAAACCCGAAAGCTCATGGCGTCCTCGCGCAAGGAGACCCTGCGGGACCACGTGCTGCAGGCAGCCAAAGCAGCCGCTCGGCAGCAGCCATTGCCAACCTAGGGCTTTGTTTCTATTTTGGTCCATACTGGTAGGTGGTCGAAAGGTTCTTGACCAACATAGGAAACTAACATCACCTCCATTAGCACACAATTCTTTCTTTGTTTTCCAATTTTGGTCCAAAAATTATCCCCTTTTTCAGGCCCCTCTCTTGAAGTGCCCCAACTGATTCTTTATGTGCGAACACCCCAACCTCCGTGCCTTCAATATTCCGTGAAGGCGCACGCGCACACACACACACACACACGCACACATACACCCTCCACACACACACACACACCCACACACCCACACACCCCCACACCCCCACACCCCCCGACACCCCCACACCCCCACACCCCCACACCCCCACACCCCCACACCCCCACACCCCCACACGTACGCACGCGCACACGCGCCTAACAAAACGCGCAACAAAGCGCCACACACGCAACACTCCCTCTCGTAAATGCACACGCGCAACACAACGCACCACGCGCACATCGGCACACGCGCACGGCAGAACTCCCTTGCACACAGCACAACGCGCACAAAGCGCACACGCGCACGAAAAACGCACATCGCCACAAAACGCACACGCACACAGCACGACATACCCGCACACGCACACGCACAGGCACAGGCACAGGCACAGCACCGCCACACGCGCATCGACGCACGCGCACTCGCACCAAGCGCAACGCTCTATCGCGCAATCACGCAAACGCGCAACAACGCAGCGCCCAAGCCCAACAGCGCCAGCCCTAAACAGCGGCAGTACAACTACAACCACAAGAGGCACACACACACGCACGCAACGCAACGCACAGGCACGCTACAACGCATCTGACGCAACCGCTACAGCAACCCACAACACACACACACACACACACACACAATTACGCACACGGCACACACACACACACACCCACACCACCCACACACATCCCCACACACACCCACACACAACACACACACAGACACAACACACACAACACACACACAGACACCCACAGACACCCACACAACACACACAGACACACAACAACAGACACACACAGAACACGATTACCCAGACACACGACACACACCCCATACACACACGCACAAACGCACCAACGCAACAAGCACGGACGCACACTAAACCACTGCACAAACGCACAACAGCACCACGCTCACGCACGAATCCACCGCACAACGCACAAACGCCCACTAACGCACACACGGCGCACACGCAAAAAACATAAATCAACACAACAAAAAAACCGCACAATACGCACAACACAAGCGCACTGAACGCGCACCGAGCACACCCGCACTACCAACCACACACACAGCACACACACACACGACAACACACACACACACACACACACACACACACCACACACACACACAGCAAACACACAACAATACACACACACACAGCACACACACACACACACACACACACAACACACACATCACACACACACACACACACACACAACACATCACACAACACACACACACACACACACACACACACACATTGACATGTTGTCATTCCAACTACGTTCGCACCGAAAGCAAACTACAGCCGCACCAAATCCCTGCCCCGACACGCACACACACTGTCGCACACACCGCGCACACACGCACACGACATGTGTGGTGTTGTGTGGGTGTGTGTGGTGTGTGGTGGTGGGTGTGGTGTGTGTGTGTGTGTATTGGTTTGTGGGTGCTTATTTGTGTGTGTGAGTGTATTTTGTTTGTGTGTGTGTGTGTGGTGTGTGTGTGAGCGTGTGCGCGTGTGTGCCATGTGTGCGTGTGGTGCGCAAAGCGCGTAGCGCGCAGTAGCGCGGTGCGCGTGTGCGCGTGTGCGCGTGTGGCGCGTGTGCGCGTGCGCGTGTGCATGTGGCAATGCTCGTGCGCGTGCGCTGCGCGAGCGCGTGCGCGTGCGCGTTGCTTGTCGTGTGCGTGGTGCGTCGCGCGGTGCGTGTGCTGTGCCGTGTAGCTGTGCGTTTTGCGTGCGCCGAGTGCGTGTGCGTGCGCGTGCGAGCACGTTGGCCGTGTGGCGTGTTGGTGTGCAGGGGGTGTGCGTGTGAGTGTGTGCACGCCACACACACCACACACACCACACACACCACACGACACCACACACACCCACACACACCAACACAACACACCACACACACAAACACACACCACACACAACCACACAACACCCCACACACACACACACCACACACACAACCACACACACACACACCACACACACACCACAAACACACCACACACACCACACACACCACACACACCACACACACCACACACACCACAACACACACACACCACTCACACCAAACACACCAAAAACACACCACACAACACACACCACACACACCACAATACACACCAACACATCAAAACCCACACACACCACAAACCACAACACACACACCACACACTACCACAACAACCACACACACACCACACACACCACACACACACACCACACACACCACAACACACACACACACCACACACACCAAACACACCACTACACACCACACACACCACACACACCACAACCACCACACACAACCACAACACTCCACACACACCACACACACCACACCACCACACACAACCCACACACAGCCACACACACAGCCACACACACAACCACACGCACACCACACACACCCACCCACCCACGCACGTCCACCCACAACCACATACGCACCACCACACAGCAACAACGCACACGCACACGCACATAATGACGCACACACAGACGCACACCACACAAACGCACAAACTATCGCAACACCGCACCAACAACCCGCACACACGCAACCAACGCACAACGCACACGGCACAAAAACACAACAGAACAACGGCACAACAACACACGACAACGCAACAACCACAAAAATACAAAGCAACATCTGCACGCACACACCCAAACAACACCACGCAAACGCACGACGCACTACGCACCCGCACACCGCAACACCACAACACGCACAACGCAACAACGCACAAACGCACAATAAACGCACAACACACGCACCCAGTGACACAACAAAACACACACGCACACACACGCACACCACGCACATCAATGCTGCTCAGACAACTCCAACCGTGGTGGGGGCTATGGTTGTGGAGGGCTTAGGGGGTATGATCGTGGATTTGAGAGTAAACAAATGTGAAAACGATCACTGTGGGGGTTGCTTGCGACTCATGCCCACAGAGATCCCTCGGAAGGGAATTCAAGGATGGTTTGAGAATCTTTCTGACATGTTGGCTCGATGAAAGCCCTTCTTAGGTCGACTTGTCTTCCCAGCATGCTGGTTGAGTTCGCGGGATTTGTGGCCCTTGGCTCCTCCGGCATCTCAACATATTCTCATTTGTCCCAGCTCACGGTTGGCGCAACGGCGGCAAGAAAGAGTTGGTCGCCCCAATTATGTGGGAACTGGTTTTCCAGCCCCAAACCAGTTGTTTTTTGAGCCTTTTGTTTTATGGGCCCCCAAAAACATCTTTTGGGGTCGAACATGCAGCCTCCTCCCCGGAACAAAAAATATGTTGGTTTCTTTTGGGTTCCCCCCGTACAACCCCAGAAGGGGGCCCTCAACAAACGGGAAGCAAAAAAAACACCAAATATCACCCCCAACACAATGACTACGTGACTTCTTCCTCTGGAGGTTCCCAAGCAACAGCCAGCCGTCCGCTCTCAGGCGGAGCAGCTTCTGCCGTGGGTGCCTCAGGTGATGTGTTGGTACGCCGCCCGCCGTTGCCAGCCCCGCGGTTCGGACAGGCCCCATTTCGCGGGGGGAATTCAAATGGCCATGGGTCAAAACCGCGTACCCCAGTCAACATTCAAATCCGGACTGAAATAGACTAAAATGGGTGGTGCACCCATCCCAAAATGGTACCATTGGTTTTGAACCATGAGCAAATGTTCATCATGAACTGTAAGTGGGTGGGGGCATGCTCCATGTTGTTCGTTTCTTTTTGACTCGTGAGGAAGGAGGCCAGGAAGAACACTCCTCTGCTGTTTTGCTGGACAGCATCTGCCGACCATTGACCGACATTTGGCGTGTCTTAAGATCGTGGACCCCCAAAGTGGATTTCAGGCTTCCCTTTGGTTTCCCTTTCAGACAGCCCAAGTTTGTTACCATCAAACACGACAGCCCATCTTTTGATTCGTCCGAGGCCTGGCAACGTGGTCTCTTTGCAAGAATGGGTGGAATGGCACGCCGACCGATTTCGAAGTCGGCGGAGTTCGAAGTCAGCTCGAGCCGTGGTGTTTCGCACCTACGAGCCCAAATATGAGGGACTCCCAACGTGGTGGCTTTTCTTTTGGTTTTCCTGCAAACAAACCTGAAATGGGTGCCCGCACACGTGTCTCTCTAAATTTCCCACGTGCACCATGGGACCCTCTGATGTTCGCATGTCCGTTGAGGGTATAGCTTGGACCATGCCCCTCCTGGCCTACTATGATTGCATTCACGCCAAAGATGGCAGGTGGAAACTCCGCTCATCGATTGCAGTTCCCAGCTACGTGGGAATGTTCTGGTGAATGACTTCGGCAATGCAGTCCGACACCTCCTTTTGCACTGGCCCACCGTGGTTTGTGCCCAGGTTTTCGTGGTATACATCATGACGCTCCTCTTCCGGAAAAAGCGTGTGGGGTTGCTGCATGATTATGTATTGGTGCTGCTTGTTGCATGCTTGTTGCATTGCTTGCTGCCTCCGCAGTTTGAGTTGTCCACTGATTGAAACGCCCTTCCTTTCCAGCCATATTCTACACTGGAATGGATCATGGCGACCTTTTACGAGAATGCCGGCTTATGCTGCATGCCATCTCGTCGCAGATCAGTATTCTTGTGGCTGGACTACAACGTCTTGAAGGTCAGCAACGGCATCCACAGCCGCCACCTCCACCACCAGTACCGGACGGGCAACCACCGCCGCCACCCCCACCATCATCGACACCTTCGTCCGTGCCGGCCACATCGGTCCGACCAGATTATCCGACGGTACCAGTCACTCTCGTGGCCACCTCAGACAACCGGATGGAACACACTGCTCATGTTCATACGGCGAGTGTCAGCACTTCCCGAGAACGCAGACGGAGAAGAAGGTCCAGACACCGGGACCCTCATCGGCGTCGGTCACGCAGCCGCAGTCACCACAGGCGTCCTCTTTCAGTGGATGATGAGTATTTGTATCAGACCACCGTTGAAAAAGTCTTTCAAATAGTGGTGACTGGTAGAGTTTGATGGGGCAGGGTCTGTGGTATTGTCAAGTGTTGGACCCTGGAACACACACACACACCTTTGAGGCTCGGTCAAACATTATACCAGTAGTTAGGGAACCCTGAGTTGGTGGTTTGGATGTTATTGTCTCTTTTTTTGGTGATTTCAACCTCTGGCCTTTTTAGAGGGTAAATGGGCTCCTCAACCACCAAACCACCAAATCAAACCTCCGATTAGGGGCGAGGTCCGCTGCTGTACGGGTGCTCTGATGTAGAGGGAAGCAGAGGTGACTCCAAGCATGAAGAGTTTGAACACATCTTCCCGAAATGGCTTCTGGCTTTACATAGGTTCTCTTTGCACCTGTTGGAACGACGCCATCCCCGACATTTCGGGGAACGCTTGAGCTGGTCGTTTCAATCCAAAGAGCCTTTCCGACTCCGCCAGTCGCATGCCCGGCGAAGTAGAGCTGGGCACGGACGACGCCGGCCTGGCACGACGCCCGGCTTTGTTGCGGCGCTTCGGCGCGATGCGTGGTCTGGGCGAAGCGACGTCCACGTAAATACATTCATATGCGCGTGTCTTGTTTTTTGGAAGGAGCCTTTTTTTAAACCCAAGGGAAAGCCCACCACGTTTGGGGCTCCCCTAAAAGAAACAGCAACGCACCCATATGGACGTGTCCAAAAGGTTGGCTTTCCCTTGGGCTTCCCTTCAAATGCCAACCAAAACCACCTCCGCCACAATCTGCCAGGTGAAGATTGTTTTTGTGTTTTTCGGAACATGATTTACTTGGGGCTTCATGCAATTCCAATCATTTTGGGGAACTCCCCGTAAACCAAAGGCTTTAAAGGCAATCTGGCGGTTTGTCCGAGGAAACGACAACTTTGGGAGGAGTATCATGAAGGTATTTCGGGAGAGTTTCACTGTGCTTCTGAATATTTTGTGTGGATGACACCATTCCGGTCCGCGGATCTTGGCATCCGCCAGAGCTCAATCTGCTCGAGGCCAAAGTCCGCAGGCCAAGAAAGCTCTTGGCATGGTCGTGCAAACCGATTTTCTGTGCGAGATCAAGGGACACCCCGATTCGCAAGATTGCGCCACAGATCATACCCTGCACGAGATGGGCTTCTTGCTAGGAATACGCCATATATCACGCCACTCATTGGTTGCACCTTTGGTTGGCCGGATTCTGAGCCTGCAAAAAGTCATATGGCGTCCTGTGTTAAGGGGCCTTGACTCGTGCCCTTATTTTTTTGCCATCTAAGGCATTTGATGATTCTCAAATGGTTTCCCTTTCAACCTATATTTTTTCCGTAGGGGTCTAAGTTTGGCGCTTGTTGCTTTTTCAGAGTCCTGAAACTATATGGCATTGTTTCTCAACAAGACCTTGCTGTATAAATTGCACACATGCTTCTTGTGGTCAACACTGGTCTAATGATTTGGTGTGTGTGTGTCAAAATAGGAGGATTTCCTTTTGGTCTCCCCTTAAACCCATCCCAAGAAGGGTGCCTCAAAAGGATTCGCCCCCTAGACGAGCTCACGCGCTGGGATTCGATCTCTGTTGGCCGCGAAGATCGTGAGGTCGTGCTGCGGCCTGCTCGCAGCGGCAAGGCGAAGGACTAAAACGACAACATGTCGGGCATGATGTTCAGCCCGGAAAATGACCCCAAAACTGGGGTCTCGAAACTGTTCTATGTTTCAGGGTAGACCAAAGCGTGTGTGTGTGTGTGTGTGTTTGTTAGGGCACCCCTTTTGGGGGCAGGGGAAATCACGATGAAGCCACACATATATAGGGTCCGAATCAGCAGCTCTGGGCAGAATTTGACAAGCTCACCCTCAAGATGCCCAAAGTAGGGCATGTCTGATTTCAGGCTTCACTGAGTTATAGCAGATTGCCCAGATAGGCGTGTTGGTGTCTTCGGCTCCATGTCTTCATGTGCTGGCCAGGCATGGTCCACACCTCCGGATCCCATGCCCGAAAAGGCCCTGGGCATTCCAAGGAACAGAAGCGCCCGTAGGTTTGGTCGTGTCCTGGATGGCATCTTTTGGCGCAATCCGGTGAGCAAGAAAGCAAGCAAGCGAGCCGGCGAGAAGGCAGATCCGCCCAGCGAGCCGGCGAGAAGGCAAGTACACCCACCCTCCAAACCCACCTTGAACCAACACTTGAATCAGGGAAAAGGCCATGGGCCATGGCGCGCTTGTCAAGCGGAGCCCTGGTGACGGCCGGGAAGCACGCTGGAGGACCTTCACTTCTCAGGGGAACGACCCGCGGGGTGAAGCCCCAGGAGGACGGGATCAAGGACTCTGTGGACGGCCTCAGCGGCATGGACAGACCGCTGGGAGGTTTCCAGGTCTCAAGGACCCCGGCCATGTTTGACGCGGTGAAGCTGGCGGAGATCGGAAGCTCAGCATTTGGCCAGGCCAACCTTGAGTGAAAGCAACAACCAGTCTCAACCGTCCCACCAGCTTGCCCTGCGCGCCATGCGCCTTGGTGGAGGTCAGGCTGGCTTCAACCATGGACGTGCAGCGGTGTTCACCCCCAACGGCCCAGAATGACCAATGGTTCCTACGCAATTATATATTTATACACCACAACATACTACAATAGAATATAGCATTATTTTCAGAAAGTATGTATTCATACACAAACACGCATACGCACATATAAACATGCACACCCACACACATATTAATATATATATATATACACATTTAGTACACATATATATATATATACGTATATGTGCATATACATATATATATATATATGTATGTATGTATGTATGTATGTATGTATGTATGTATGTATGTATGTATGTATGTATGTATGTATGTATGTATGTATGTATGTATGTATGTATGTATGTATGTATGTATGTATGTATGTATGTATGTATGTATGTATGTATGTATGTATGTATGTATGTATGTATGTATGTATGTATGTATGTATGTATGTATGTATGTATGTATGTATGTATGTATGTATGTATGTATGTATGTATGTATGTGTATGTATGTATGTATGTATGTATGTATGTATGTATGTATGTATGTATGTATGTATGTATGTATGTATGTATGTATGTATGTATGTATGTATGTATGTATGTATGTATGTATGTATGTATGTATGTATGTATGTATGTATGTATGTATGTATGTATGTATGTAATGTATATGTATGTATGTATGTATGTATGTATGTATGTATGTATGTATGTATGTATGTATGTATGTATGTATGTATGTATGTATGTATGTATGTATGTATGTATGTATGTATGTATGTATGTATGTATGTATGTATGTATGTATGTATGTATGTATGTATGTATGTATGTATGTATGTATGTATGTATGTATGTATGTATGTATGTATGTATGTATGTATGTATGTATGTATGTATGTATGTATGTATGTATGTATGTATGTATGTATGTATGTATGTATGTATGTATAATTTGGGAACATGTAAATTCACATTTATATGTATATGTACACATGTATATGTGAATCTTTGTTGTTAATATATATGTATATATCCAGCTTACATGTATATGTATGTATGTATATATATATATCGATGTATGTGTATATATATATATATACATACATGTATATGCAAACACCTGCGCATATAAATATTCACGGCTGTGTCTGAATTGAGACAGTTGTCCAGCTTTCCTGCTTTCACACAGGAGCCAGATCCTGCCCTGCAGGCCTTGGGTGAAGTGATGTTGGGACACATTGAACTGGCCGCTCCGCCTGGGGTGTTTCTCAAAAGAGGAATTGCACTCCTAAAGGTTTTTTATTCTTGGTTTCCCTTTGAACTAGTGACAAGGGGGGCCTCTATTTTGATACCCCCCCTTATTTGTTGCCATCGTCAAGGTGATTTCTTTGTCGTGTTAAAGGGAAGCGACCCCAGCTTCCGGCTTGCGCTAGAAACAGTCAAGTTGCAGTTCCAAGGTTCATTGCCCTGGACCATACATTTGGGCCAAATGAAGGAGACATCACGGGAACCCCGAAAACGTTCCATGTTTCTCGGGGGTTTGTGGGGGAAGTCTTTGAGTAGCGCCAGAGGCATCTCTTGGCTGTCAGGTTTCTTCGCAAAATACCAGACCAGTCCGCAAAAGAAACCCCTCCGTGCGCACCGTGCTTTTTGGGCCGGAAGTTTATTTGCTTATTTATTGTTTGATCCATTTGGGGGTGTCTCTTATTCAGGGCATCCCTTTTCCCGTGGATTGAAAGCGAAGCCAACAGGAATATTTGCTTATTTATATATATATATATATATATGTATTTTGTCATCTATTGATACAGAGACAGTGGGTTTCATCTCTTGCAGTCCTTCCTCGGGCGCCTGCCTGGTGACCACTTCCTCCCGGAGGAGGCGGGATGCGGCTTTGCAGCTTGGCTGTCCGTGCGAAATTCTCGCTCGAAACGTGCGTCACTCGTTGGGTTTGGACCATGGCAAACAGCACGCCTCGATTTTTTTTCTTTTCTTTTTTTTTTCAAGGAAGTGGGATTTGTTGAAAGAGAACCGGATGGAAGAAACAGGAGAAGGGGCCACACAAGTTCGAAAGGATTCATAGTTAAGCCGTATTGTGATGAACAGGTGATTTAGCATGTTCAGAACAGGGGGTTGGCTCCACTCCTCGACTCTGCTTCACAATGAGAACTGAGCTCGTTTCTCATCATAGCCATCCGCTTTCCGAAATTGTAGCTGGTTGCGAAACAGGAAAGGAGGGATTGTTGGGAGCAGCCCTGGTCCAGATTTTGTCCTCCCCGCCGGAGGGTGCGGAACGCGGTTGTGTCACTCTTGCTCCCTTTGCGACGTGATCGAATTCGATGGATCGCAGACTTTCGGCTTTTGCTCAGCTTCAATTGCGCTAGGAGAACCTGAGAGAAGCCATCGTTGCCGCCTGCGGCCAAGTCTCGGAAGCCTGAGTTCTGCTGGGCGAAAAGGAGCTGGGGGCAAACGAGCTCATGAGGTTCCTTACTGGAGGCATTCCCTTTTTCAGGTTTGAATGAACTATCATATCTTGCCCGTTCGCCTTTTTTGGGGAGCAGGGTTGTCTTCAACGGGGTACGAAGAGGAAGCAATACAGAAGGCATTGCTGCTGAGGCGGTCGAAAAAGGGCCTGCAACGCTGGCGCAGGCAGAGCTGCAACAGGGAAGCTGCTGAATTGACAGAGCTCAGCGCAGGTTCGCGCTAAACTTGGCTCCGGTAAACCTGAATAGGTGGTTTGAGTGCCTTTTGCCGAGCTGATGTTGTGTCACCGCAGAGTCTTCTCGCTTGGGCGGCCAGCAGGCTTGTCGAGCAATCCACCAAACGGCAGTTCACAGAACTGCAGAGAATCTGCCAGGAACATCACTTGAGCAGCGCCCGAAAACCCCATATTGGCCACTTTAGTAGGTGTTTTTTGGCTGTACCTGGTTTCAGAAGGCTTAGAGCAAGGCTTGTGGAAGCCTTGTGTTCTAGCCATCTTGGTAGAACAAGCAGTCAAGGGTGTCGGGTATTGTTCATTGTCAAGCTGGGTCCGCAGGCCCAGACCCGGGAGCAAATCTCATTTTCGCTCCCAGGACCTTTGGGCAGTCGAAGTCATCGGGCCGTTTCCTTCAGCCGTGTCTCAAGTGCGACCGAGCCCCCGGAAGATCCACCACCCACTTGGCGCCTTTTGGTTTTTTAGCGGTTGCGCACCTTTTGGCCCCTTGGCCCCTGCCAAAGACACAGCTGCAGCTGGGCAGGTGAAGAGAATCCCCACCGTGATCAAGTTCACCAAGGCCACTTCTCGTTGCAACGTTTGACACGTTTGGGGTCCGGTCGGAAAAGAATCAGACCTGGGGCGCGTGCCAAAGGGGCATCCCCTGAAGTTGGGGCTAGTTCTCCTTTCGGCTTTCCTTTAAACCGACCTTTAGAAGGGCGTGAAAACTGGCAGTCTGTGGTCCATTCGAGCTGGACATGTGGGAACTCACGAAATTCCCCCAACGATCACGGGACACGCACAAAACAGGGGAAGGACTTTGCTCTCAGAGGTTCGGCCAACGAGCAATGGTCAGTGACGGTCATCTACTGGGGAATGGCATGAGGCACCTGAGCCCCATATCACGAGCATGTCGGAGTAACTCCCATGTGGCTGTGGATCAAAAATGGGTACCCAAAATGGAACCCTGGTAAATGGAACTCAAGAACTGGTGGTTTAATTTTGATTGATCGTTGCGATCGCGACGCGTTGTTGCCGCTTGGAGCAAGCCTGGGCGGTGGCAAGATGATGGTGTCCCCGACCCTCCATGTTTTGCCCGTGCAAATATTTGTCGGTACACCCGGATGAACGTAGGACGGCAAAACTCTCCTTATTGGACGAGTCAATAGGGCGAGGGGACACCCCCTCGCAACCCATCTGGAATTTGAGCAACCCACTTTGAAGCCCCAGCAACCGCTATATACCCCATGATCCTCAGGCGCAACACACTAGGTGGCGGTTCCAGTCCTTCTGAAATGGAATCATTTTGAACAGGTGCGGCACACCTTCTGCCATGCATTGATTTTTACAAAAAGAAGCAACATGGCACGCGTCTCTGGCGAAAAGCCTTGTTCGCAGCCGCTTTGATTGGTCTCGGCTTTGGCCGAAAAGACCGCGTCCGTCCGGCGCTTCGCTCTCAGATCCTCCTGCCACAAGCCGTGGCGCTGGAGGACTGGATCGAGCGCCGCATCGGCGCGGAGGCGCCGCGAGAGAGCCTGAGCTTTCGCTCGCTCCTCCGCGGCGGGAAGTCAGTCAGAATCCTCGGCTCACGGTGGTTTTGTTTGGTCCATGGGGATGTTTTGTTGTTTTTTCTCCATGGGAAACCGCCGGGAAGGTGAGAGTTCATGCACAGATCGGTGGCCCTCCCCTATGGGAGGTTTGGCCGTGAGGTGGCCGTGGACTCGGACGAGCGCGGGCAGCGCATCTGCCGGTCCATGCACGGGCCGGTGGCCACCAAGGCGATTCGATCGATCGCATCGATCGATTGGGGGGGGGGGAAACGTCGCGTTTCTCCCAGCCACAAATGGGTGTGGTGGTCAAAACCGTTTTGGGATCCGATTTTGGTTGGTGGGTGAATTCACCACCCATTTTAGGCTGTTTATTTTAGTGGGGGTTGGCATGTTCACTGGGTACGAATTTTTGAGCGTGGTGGTCAAAAATGGGTACAGAAAATGGGTTGCCCGTTGGGCAAATGGAATGCATGCGGGGTGCGTTTGGCGAGCTCCAACCTCCCACGACTGGTTGGTGAAGGGCGCCAGGGATTGCGCGCGCCAGCCCAGTGTACTCGAAGTCTGCAAAACAAACACACACCTCTGGGGATTGAAATGTGCGTGCGTGTTTGCTTGTTTGCTTGTGTCTTTGTTTGTCTGTTTTTTGTTTGTTTGTTTGTTTGTTTGTTTGTTTGTTTGTTTGATTGTTTGTGTGTTTTTGTGTGACTCAGTTTTTGTGCGGCTTCCGGCACAGAGAAATCCGTTGAGAGATTCAGTTGATCTGTTTAGGGAACCCCTGGGTTGATTCTAAAGGGAACGAGCCTTTGTCCAACTGAGTTTAGGGGATGCTTGGAGAGTTCCTCGGGTGGGCCTTGGCGAGGCATTATTGGATCACATTGGATCACAGCCTTCCTTTTGGTCGCAAAGGCTTTTCCTGCGAAGAATTCAGATGGCCTGGCTCAACCATCCGCCATCCAGGGCATGAGAGGGCTGAGAACTCTCGGATGATCAGCCAGAAAGGAGGCGGCCGAAGGAGTCAAATGTCCGGTGCACGCAGGAAGCACCGCCGGACTTCTTCAGCAGTCTTCCGAAGGCGGGCAGGGGACATGGGCTACGCTCCCATCAGACATGGCACCTCACAGGTTCTGGAAGACCATTTTGGTGTAGGGACCCGGTGGGTGGTGGTGTGGTGCCCATGGGGAACCTACCCAGTTTCCCATGTCCAGAAGGGGCAGCAGCTTACGCCTTGGTGAAGGGAGCCTTGGCATTTGGACATGGAGTTGGGGGGGGTAGGGGAGGGATTTTGATCCAAAGGAAGACTAGGAGAAAGAAGACCCATTGTAAAGTTGGAAGGCTGGAACATTTGAGCCGTTGTGTCGACTCCTAATCAATTAGCCCCCAGCTATGAATCAAGGGTTCCCCCCAGAAGAAAGGGATCCCCGCCAAACAGGGAACCCCGTAGTACGAGGGTGGCTTAGAAATTGAGGGGTCGAAAACTCAAGCTCACCCCCCCGTAAGAACTCACTGTGGACTCGTCGCAGGATTCCTTCTTGCCGGAGGAGGAGAGGTGTGGCCCTTGGGGGGTTCCCCTTAGCGGATGGGTTTGTTAATCCGGGGTTCCCATTATTCGGAGACAGACTCTCATAAGAAGCAGGCATGCAGAGGAGTCTTTGGCCCCTGTTATCCCATCACATCCGGAGGGATTGAAAGTCGTTGCCATTCCTCTTTGCCTAAGCCTTATGTGGCGTGGAATTCTCAGAGCCCCGGCATCGATCAGAAGCTTCTTGGGGGGGGGGGCAACTCGAATGTTTCACCTAAACCCTTGGCTTCAAAAGGTCCTTTGCATGGGATGACCAGTGGGGAAACCACAAGACTAGTGATACTTCCCACATGGGAAGAAGGTTTCCCATGGGATCAACCCCCCCAGGTCTTCCACATGGGTTGCGATCCTAGGCTGCGCCTCGCCATCTTCGACTTCCTCGCCGGCTGGAGCTCGCCGGACGGGGGAAAATGCCCTGGGGGTGGGAACCCACAGGCAAGCCGCGCCTCGAAATCTGGGTTGCCCATTTTGTGGGTTGCCCCGGGACATGGGTTCAAGGTAGTTATGCTCTAGAGCGGTGGGTTCCCCGGCTCTAGAATTTTGAGCGGTCACATGTTTATTTTGGGTCTGGGGATGTCTAAGGGGCGTATCTGAAGGAAATTCTTTTGTTGTTGGGGGGAAGCGTTGTTTGTGGTATTCCCCCGAGTTCAAGGCGCTCATTTGAAGACAGAAAGCTGCCGCTGGTTTGAGCATGCGTACGCCACTATGTTAAACCACCTCAGATTAGTTTCCCTTCAAAGATTGCAAGTTTCACATTCTCGACAAGCACAAGGATTCACAAAGAGCCGTTCCTCCCAGCCTTAGCCATCAACGGTTTTCCGTGCGTTGTCTTGCAACCATTCAACCAAGCCTGAGAGCAAGAGCAAACTCTCGCGGATTTCTTTTCTTGTGTGTTTGAGCTATGGCGTTGGTCATTGATGATATATCAAGCGCGTAATAGTGCCTGTTATTCAACCGTGTGTGTGAACGCCCTCAAGCAAGGCATCATGATGATTCATGCCCGACCTTTGTGGCAGTCTGTGTTGCAAGGTTGGACCCGTTTGCAAGGTTGGACCCGCAAGTGAGCCGCAATCAAGCCCGGCGAGCTGGTTGTGGTACAGCTCCAAGGCTCCAAGCCATGAAGTAGCTACCCCGTGCCTTTCCTTGTCCTCGTTCGGAATCGAAGGACTTGGCGACGCTGAACATCTGCGCCCAGCATCCACCCGTCGCCGAGGCCGAAACCGCGAGCCCGCGCGGCGCGCGAGGTCCTGAAACGAGCCAGCGGATTTGGTCATTTGAAGTGGCAGCGATGGGCTTCCAACTTTGGTGTTCCTTTGAAACCCACAGCAAAGGCAACAAATACGCCCAACCCCACCCCCCCAAAGGGTCATTTTTGTAGTTATGTGCTTCTTTGCCCTGGTTTCAAGGTGATAGCAAGAGCTATTCAAAAGTTAGAAAGCCAGTGGGTTTTGAGAGCTGCTCATTTAAGGTTTGATCAACTCCTGCAGCATGGCCTGGTTGGATTGGGTCTAGGAGTATCCATTCTTGAAGCCACGCAGTTCACATTTCTGAAGCATTCATCTCGAGACCAGCCTATCACTTAGTTGTAGTTCTGGTCAGTTTTGCCCACCCTACCCACCCTCGACTTCTATGTCGAAGATGTGGTGCCGCTTGGCAGCCCTCTTTCCTGCCAAGTCCACTGGAGTTACATGGAAGTTGCCTCCAGCCGGTGCTCCGTGGGTGTACAAGATCTCGCGCCGGATCTTGTGTTTGAATCTCATCCATGGTAGCTGTTGTGAATTCTTCTTCTAACAGCTGTCCATGATGGATTCGATAACGCCAATGTACATCAGTATCATTGGTGATAAGTCTCGCCAGATCGACATAGAAGGAGGACAGAAAAATTGCCGAGTGACGCCAAGTGAAGCTTCCGTGCGCTGCAAAGATTTCATCAAATGTCCTGTTTTGTCTAAGCTCATGGGACACTCAAGCCAAATCTGCATGTGGTTGGGGAACATGCGGGTACTTATGTGAGATCATATGAGGTTTAGTCAACGAGCTCTTAAAACTCACCCGCAAAAGGACGGGACCCTAATTTTTCCCGTGCCTTTTTGGCGAAGTATTCATAATTTTGACAGTGTGTCATTTGGGTGCTGCCCAAAATTCTGTTTTTGAATTTGGTACTTGAAGTTGGCTGATGGCGCTGCGTATTTGGGTTTCGCAACTTAAGCTGGGCTTTACGTCCTTTTTTTGTATTACTTTATAGCAAACCCGGAGCAGTTTCCCGGATTCCTGGCACGCCAAGGTGTTAAAGAGAGCAAATCGGACACGAACGGCTCGGAGAGAGAGTTTTGTGGACGCACGTGCAAGGTTCAGGCAAAGTACCTTGTACTCTACTGTCAATTCGGGAGGGACATGGGAGACTTGCCGCATTTTTCGCAAAATCCAGGCGGACTGTTTTTCCCATGTCTCATGACAGGAATCGCACATTGGACCGCTCATGTGCCAAGCTTTCCGCGAGGCAAAGAGGGCCTTGCCCCAGCCCCAGCGCCTGCGATTTGCGTTGCACTCAGCCGAGCCACGTGCTCAAAACCCGACGAAGGTTAGGGATACTCCCAACCAGAAATAGCTGCGGAATTCCGCCTTCTTATTTCTTGAAGCATGGTTCTGGGTAGACCATTTTGATGCCGGGTTTTGAGTATGACTTAGCTAATGTTGATCCCTGATCAATAACCCTCCCCCCCCTCCCCAGATGTTAATCCTTGGGGTGGAACAAAGGAATCCTCACACGGGGGCTTTTCCCTCGGGGGGGGTCCCGGACCCGTTCGCGTGTTTGCACCTTTCTGGGAGTTTCCTTTGTCATGGTTCCCAGGAATGAAAAAGCGCCGGATCCTATGTAGCAGAGGACTCCTGCTTGAGTTTTCCTTTTGCCCAGAGGCCCATGAGAATTAGTGGGGCATCCACTGACTCCATGCTCATGTGGCTTTGGATTTTTCATGGCTGGAACACCCTCGGCCCTCATCGGCTGGATTTTCCGATGTCCACCATAGGGGCCAAACAGCTAAGCTTCATTCCCGTAGCAATGTTCAAGGCCTTTCCAGATCAAGGGAAACGGAATTGTTCATGGAATGTGTCTCAAAATCGGGTTTTTCTTTTGATTTCCCAGACACCCCAAAAAGGAACCCTCAAGTGCACACATTTGAGCCCGCGTTTCCAAGGCTCGGAGAGAGAGGCAACGCCGGGCCCCCCAGACACCGAGCCAGTGATACAAGTACTAAGAAGACCGATGTACAGCAAAGTCGTCACCAAGGGAGTTCCACTGCGGCATCATGGAACGGGCCACCGTCAACTTGGGATTATGAGGGAGGACCCTAACGGGGAACCATCTCTTCGTATGGTCCAGACTACTCCTCAACAAAACATGGAACCCAACTCTGGTTGTTTGTTGGGCAACCCATGTTAATTCGTTAACTGATCGAAGCGAGGTGGGCCTCAAAGAGTGGGTGGAGCGGCGGATCGGCGGGGAGTTGACCACGCCTCAGAGTGAGGTCGGAGCTTCACGGTTTCACGCCGTTTTTGTCTCAGTGGGCCTGAGAGCCTTCGGCGCCATTGATCAGGGCCCCCTTCAAAACCTCAAGAAGAACAAAGTCGACTTCAAAATCTGATGGCTTGCCGCCTGGCCCGTTTCCTTGAGCTTTCTGGCTCCGCAAAGCTGGTGAGATGCCTGGGTCAGCACATGCAAGGAACCAAGGACCATGATGGCACTTGTTTTTTCTTCTTTTTTTCCCCATTTATGTTTGCTTTCAGCTCACGTTTTTTTTCTTTTCTTTCTCGCTGATCAGTTTTGCGCATCGCTTATATTTTTTCGCATGACACCGAACTGTGCGCTTGACACTTTGTGCTGACCGCGCGGGCTTCAGCGATCTCTCACTTGGCTCGGGCCTCAGATCTCAGATGGACTTCGCTTCGGGGTTCGCGCTCAAACGTGGCCGGCATAGGCTTGCCAAAAAGTTGCTCGGCAACTCAGTTCAATTGCCGTGAACACGCAGGATGTAGGTGAAGCACACAGTGCAAAATGGTAAACGCTTTCTGAGATTTCCTCGGAGGGAACAAGCGAGCACGCCAAACAACAAGAAGGGAGAATTCCCGCGGCAAAGACACTCTTCCTGTGGTAATGCAGTGTAGCTACCATGCAAGAACCCGCAAACTGGCATGCGCATTCCAAGCTACCTTGAAATTTTGACAGGCAATGGTGCGCTATCATAGTTATGCAACAGCAGAAAGCACCGTGCATGCGTGAGAGAACTGTAGCAGTAAATTATATTATTGGCTAGGAAGTGGCAGCATAAGATTGCAACACGGGCCTTATTGTTGAGCTGTGACAATAATGTATGATAGCGATTGACAGGTCAAGTCACATTGCCACCGGTTTGCAGATGAACCATCAGCACCACATATGCATGGGCGGAAACACGCTGCGCCAAACAGACAACGGAAGAGATGAAGACACACTGCCATCAGCTTCTCTTAGCTTTCCCTCAGGCGAAACAGGTATTTCCCAACCGAGCGGGTCTCAACGGGTCCTACATCAGGGCGACAGATATCACAACTCTCACGATTCTCGCAACTAATGGGGGGAATCCCCCATTTTGGTTTCGTCCTCGCCGTACCTTGCAGGGAAGTTCCAAGAAGCCCTCACGCACCAGCCAGACAGGTGCCACATGACCGGTGACAGCGGGGCTGCCGAGGGGTGTGACCTGAGCGGCTCGGCAAGCGACACGGTGTCTCAATTGGGGAGGGTGACCAAACCGCCAAACTGAGTTGTCCAAAGCCGAACTTTCAGACTTTGGAACATGTTTGTTGTTTGCTTGTGGCAGCCATTCAAGTTTAAGCCTTCAACCTGGCATTTGTCCAGCTATAGACAGGTTCGGCTCTCTCGTGTGCACAGGGAAGCTATTGAGTATGCTCCCAGGATACACTGTCCGGTGTGTCTCGTTTTGAGGATATCCCTATTTTGGCACTGGTTTGAACGGAAGAAAGGAATCCAACCGATTTGGCTTTGGCACCTACTTCAAATACCTAAAACAAAGGAGCATTTGCGCTGGGAACCCAGGTCTTTCAGCTCAAAGAAGACACACCCATATTGGGGGTTGATCAAAAGGTCCGATGAACATGGGATGACCATTGGTTGGACCCCCCAAATATTTTGATTATTGATCACCCCCCAACATATTTATCAACTATTACCAATTAATATTGATCAACCCCCACTTTTTATTAAAAAAAATGCGGCCCAAGCGGGTCTCGAGCCAAGCCGTTGGCTTCCAGGCAGTGAGAGCGCGGAGCTCGCCAAGGCCGGCAGTGCCGGTGATGGGGTCACAGGTGAAGGTTCTGGTTTCGGGGTTTCCGGTCCCTGAAACTGGGGCGAGTTTGAAGTCGGACTTTTTTTTGGCCCATTCGCCATGGGAGTTTCCTCTGCTGATGCTGTCGGGATCTCGGCGTTTTGCACCCCGAACTGGGCTCGACAACTTTGTCAGCGGCATGCAGTGCTCCGGGAGGCACAGGCTTTGTGCGCGGAATTCCCTGAAGACGATGCCAGTGGCTCAGTTCCGGGCAGAGTGGTTGGGATCCATGCTCTTGGGCGGTGCCCCGTGCAGGCCAACATGAGTGGTCAAATTGGGGAAGACTAATTGGGGGGACTCACTCAGTCTCTACAGAAGAATGAGGGTGGGGAGAGAGCCCTACTTTTGCCTGTCTCATGCAGGCGTGTCTTTTTTTTGGGGTACCCTTTGTACCTTGGTTTAAAGGGAGACCAAAAGGAAGCCATCATTTTGGGGTCCAAATCCCTAATTTGAGACAAATCCATGGTGGGGTTCGGCCAAAATATCCAGCGGCCCATTTGGGGTCTGGGACAGAAGCTCACCAAGTTCCAACCAAAACTCGGGGACGGAACTTGTCTCATGGGAGTTTCTCAAAATAGGCCTGGGACTGTCGTTTGGTTGGCACGTAAAGGGAACCAAGGAGACATACCGCCATTACGAGAGTGGCTCACATCAGCCTGCACTCAGCTTCTGGAAACCAGCACTGGGCGCAACTCCCCGTTGGTGATTTCAGGTGCTTTTGGAGTTCTGATTCTACCTGGTTTCACGGAGTGTGGTCCTTTCTTTTGGCCACATTTAGGGTGTGTGTGTTTTTGAGGCTACCATATGTTTTTTTTGATTTAGGTTTGGTAAATCAACGGAAAGAAACACTGTCCGGTGGTCCAAAAGGCACCCAGTTCTGGCCCAAAAGTGCTGGTTGTCTCTTGCGACAGGAGCCGATGGCTTGCAAGCGCCGCAAGCTGGACGGTCAGGTAGCGCCGGAAGTCGGAAGTCGGAAGTGGGAAGGGGATGAGAAGGCTTGAGGTCTGTCTCCAAATGGTGGACCCACTCAAATGAGTGGTTTATTTTTGGTTTCTCTTTACCAAAGAGAGTTGCTGCCATTTTTAAGATTGGCATACAGAAACCAACATTTTGGGCATTTCCCCTTCTTCTTCTTCTTTGTTGACACATACCCATTTGGTGTGTGTGTGTGTGTGTGTGTGGGTCTGGGTCTGTGTCTGTGTGTTTGGAGGCGAAGGGTACCCGTGTCACCTTGGTTGAATGGGACACAGGGGAAGCCGCCATTTTCGGGTCCCAGATTCACGGCTCCCTTTCCCCCAAATGACTCGGCACCAGGTGCCGGATGCCGCCAAAGAAGCCAGGCAGGGCAGTCCGTGTTTCAAGCAAATGGACATTTTGAGAGTCTATTTTGAGACACACCCATGTGTCCTGGGGCCGAAAAACCCATCTGTCTAGTTTTCTTTGTCGGTTAGGGAGTCATCTCGAGTGTTGATTCCCAGGAGAGGCGCGAAGCCTTTGAAGGCGCGGGGTTTCGTTTCGGTTGGGGCACTATCAGGTTGCTTGGCCGGGTATGTGTCCTTTTGGTTTCCAACTTACCGACCCGCAAAAGGGTAGCAACTCACAACACGCACACGTTTTTTGATGCTCAGTGCCATCCTCAGTTGGCAGTCCTTTCTTTCACAGGTCTGCCAAGCTGAGGCCCCTCACTAGGATGAGTGTTGGGCGGGCCGCAGTCAGGTTTGGGTTGGGACAGCCGGAAGAACATACACCTTTTTTCCAAGTGGAATTGAGGGGAATCGGGTCCAAATTTACTTCCAACTTAAAGGTATGTGAGGCACAAACCAAATCCGGGCAATTGAAGGGGAAGGCCCGAGCCAGAAATAGGTGCGGATCTCCTATGCGGATCTCCGGTGGATCTCCGGTGGATCTCCGGTGCGGATCTCCGCCAGTTTGGTTGAGATATTGGGACCGCCGACCTGACTTTGAATGGGACTCTTCAACGTAGCTTGCCCATGGTGCTGAGGGTTGGTTTACTTGCACTATGTGCCATGGTCAAAAGGCTGGTTGCTTTACTTGGGGTTAATAGGGATGGATGGTCAACCACCTGGTAAAGACCCTTAAGAACCATGACAATGATTCCTAAGGGAGCCATGACCCAATCGGCCAAAGAAGCGGAGATGTTTGGCCATGGCTCCTACGGCAAGGCTCCGCCTCTTCCGAAACTTCGTGCCTCCGCTCGCAGATCGGCCAGGTCAATGGTCCATCTACCATCCAGACCTTGCGAGGCGAGGGATTTCACCAATGCTGAAGGCAGTTGGATCCCTGGCCGTTTAGCCCAAGAAAAGGAACTAAAAAGCCGCGGAATGTGCATGTCTCCCAAAGGAGTCCTTTGAACATGATTGGTTGATGTAAGCTCTGTCCATAGGTTCCCTCTGGATCTTTCCCGGAGGGACACCGGTGGACCTTGCTGACTTGGCTTGGTCACTTGTCGCCTGGAGGCCGAAGGTGGGTCCAAGAGATTCAGCTGGGAAGTCCCGAGGCTTTTCGGGCTCCGGGTATGTTCGAGGAATCTACTCACAGGTGGTTCCCTTGCATAGAAATAGATGGCACTGGATGAGATTTGGGTTTTGTTCCATGTACCAGGGCCATACTGTTCCAAGAGGACGCCTATGATCCGCTTGCGTGGTTCAGCTCGTTCCAAGGGAAAACTCCCCCAACGGCCGATTGAAGCAACAACCTCCTCCCAGGGCGACTGCAGGGGCGAGAAGTGGCGCTGGTTTTGTGCGGGGAGTCCCACGAGGAGAGACACGCGGCTCTCGAGCTGATCGGTGGCATCTGCTTCTGGTTGGCTTTGGGGCTCCCTACATGTCCTTTGGGGGATTTCATCGCCTCTGTGGCCCATGTCAGGTGATGTTTAGGGGGAATATAGGGAGCCCTGGGTTTCTTGTAATACCCAGGTCGTATTTTCACCCCAGGATCTGCTCTCATAAGGGGTGATACAAGCACCCTATTCAAGGAGGCTCCCTGCACTCTGCTTCATTTTTGGGTCGACTTGCTCGGGTTGCTGTCAAAACGGTCGTTCTTTGCGCGGAGCTCGCAGCCACAACCAAGTGGCCCTTCAGAAGCCAGCTGCTTCTGGGCCAGGTGCTACATGTGGCTCACATGATGCTCGCAAGCTTCCAGAGAATCAAAGCAACTACAACACGGGGTTCCCGCCATTGGCTGGACAGGATTGCGCTTTTTTAATGGGATACCCGGTGAAGTGTTCGCCAGGATGCCATAGACTTGACGCGCCGCAGAGGCTGGAAGGGATAGCAAGGGTTTATCCCAGGATTCGTGGGGCTTTATCCATGCCAACTGGTGGGAAATGGATTTTGGTTGTGAAACCGAGCTTTCAACAAACATGAACCTATATTTGTTGTCTTTGTTTGGCTGGCACCCAAAATAGAGGTTTACACAGACCCCGCCAAATTTGGACCAGGAAGCGAGGGAAGTTCCCGGAGCTTGTGCGTGATGCCAGGCGTGGTGGCCGCCGAGGAAGGGTGGATCGCAGTGGACCACTGCCGCGTTTTCGATGCAGCGAAGGCCCTCGCCAGCAAAGGCCGGCGAAACCGCCGTGGGATGGGAGGGGTTCTGCAGGTTTCTCAAAATAGGAGGATGGGGTTGCTGGCAAGCGGGTCCTTTTGGTTTCCCGTCAACCGATCAACTTCCGAGATCCGTTGTGGGCAATCCTAGAGCCGAAGTGGGTTTCTCTTTATCTCCCGGCCAAGTGTCCAAGTGTGCTAAAAGCAACGCTAACCTCCGATTGATCAAAAGGAGGACCCTGCTAGTCTGGTGCTTCCCTTTTGGTAAGAATATGATCTGAGCGACTGCCTTCATTTACATGAAGCTGCAGTAAAGGCCATGCACATCTCTTTGTGCAAAGCAACATACTGAATCAGGTGGCAACATGAGGTAGGAACATCCGCAAAACGAGGTAGGGCCATGACATATAGGTGGTTGAGAGGGGTTGGAAAGCGGAGGTCAATGAGTCCAAACGCGTGGGTTGGAGAACGAGGTGTGGTTCCTGCCCAACCTTTGTTGGGACCCGACCCCTTTGACTAGTAGGGTCCTCCAGATGAATCCGAAGTTAACGTTGGCCCATTGAGGACATTCAGACTGTCGCAAAGGTTCCTCAGGCAACCATGGCAAGCCACATGGGGGCGTGTTGACCATGGGTCTCAATGTTAAGAGGACATAAAACTCTTTGGTGGCAGCGGGCGTGCCAAAAAGTTGCACCACCGATTTGAAGGGTTCCCCCTGGCCGGGGGCCATGAAATTTCCCCTCTGAGAGGGTGGCTTTGAAGATCACCTTTTGGGCTCGGTGAGCTCCCCAAGAGTTGTGTTGCTGTTGCTCGTTGGTCGCTGTGGTTGCCAAGAGTTGTACCGTTTGAAGGGGAACCATAGGGAGCCGTGATGGGACGCGCGTGATCCGATCCATTTTTGGGCTCCAATGCCGTGTCGGAAGGAAGGCTCTCGCTGCGGGGTGCCCAGCGCTGGGCGAAGGAGATCTTGGAAGAGACGGAGGAGGTTGGCGAATCGACGCGCATCGAGCCAATTTGCATGCCGTTTGTCTGGGGGTTTGAGGTTTCATGAGGTCTCTTCTATTCGCAGGGGAGATCCAACTCTGTGCGAATGAGGTAAAGCGAGCTCACCACTTTGCGGTAGAGGGAGCTCGAGCCCATGATGAAGGTTCATTGCGAAGGGATTCTTTATTTCTGCTTTACGAGTCATGGTTATTGGGGCTTGCCTCAAAATGAGGGGACCCCCCAAATGGCTGGTTTCTTTTTGGTTTCCGAAGCCAGAAACCGAGTAGCCTTTGCAGGATGCGAAGATCGTGGGTGCCCACTTGGTGTTTGAACCAAGAACCAGGAGCCGCGCTCAGCTGTTTCTGTCTAAGAAACTTACAACTCGAGAGAAGTCTCCAGGAAATCAGGCGCAAACTCTTGGTTTCCGTGAGGATGGACGACAGCCTCCGACGTGGTGGGATGCTTTTGGCTGCTGGATTCTGGTATTTGGCGAATTTCCAGAACATTTCCAGGAAAGCATAATGGGGGACCCCAAAAATGGTAGTTTTCCTTGGGGCTTCCCTTTCAAGCCGCCCAACAAAGGGTACCCTCAACAGACGAGCCGCTCATTTTGAGACAGGACGCGCGGCACGGCCTCCGTGTACCTCCCGTCGATTGCCGCCGTCGATTCGACGATTGGAGTAGCGCACGGCCACGGGGCCACTTCGGCGTGCCGGGTCTTCCGCTACGGGGACCTGGACAAGGCCGGGCTTCTTCTGGGAGACGTCGCCCAGCTGCCAACTTTGACCGTTTCTTTTTTTGGGGAGGACAAAAAAGAAGAAAGGGGCCAAATCATTCTAACCTCTCTACTGGAGGACCTAGTCTGGGAGCAACAAAGTCGAATGGTGGGGAAGTTCCCTGAAATTTCTGCAATTTCACGGAAGACGAACGATGCCAGCAGTTAAATAACAGTTCGCTTCCCTGGTCCTCCACCTTCCTTTCCCTGCCCCGAAGCGGCCAAAGCGGCCAAAGCGGCCACGGGGCCATGGTTGGTCGCAACCGTCGGCAACTTGGAGCGACCCCAGCAAATGGATTTCAACGGGTAATTTGGAAAAAGCATACCTGTTTCCTTGAATGCTAGTGGTTGGATCCTCCCTTTCACTTTTTGGGACAAAAACATATTTTTTACGCCCTGCAAACAGTTTTTTGGGGACGCAAGTTTCGCACTAGCCTGCGAACAGTTATTTTGTTTGATCGGCACATGGCCATCAAGTTTTCGATTTTGCGGTAAGTATCACTCTTTGCCAGGCTATTTTGCGAATATTTTTGCCTGAGAGGCTCGCGTTCAAGTTGAGTTTTGGGCGCAAGGTGAGCTTTAGTTGTTTGAGCTGGGAAAATATGTGTTGTTTCTCAGTCCCGAACCGCCCCGTCTTTTGTTCGCCTTCCAGCGACCGTGAAAGCACATCCAGCAGCAGTCGGCGGCGCTCATCTGCGCTTCCGAGCTCCCATACTACTTTGCCATCACCCCCCGAACCGCCGTGTCATGCCGTGGCACCCGACCAAAGATCCAACCCAGTAGCACTCCTCCGAAGACGGGTCTGGAGCTTGGCGCTTGTGTTGGGATGTGGGGATGCGCCTTCCCCCAGGAGGCGCGGGAGTTCAACGAGCGGCGGATGAAGCCGAAGGCTGGGCTCGGGGAAGTCTGCGGCCGAGGTTTGCCGAGAGGAAGTTTGGGGGTTTGGGTCTTTTGAGGGGAAGTGGTTTTGCGAGAACGAGTTTGGCTTGAGAAGAAGCACTTTTTTGAGCGTGATGTGTGGTTTTTAGGGGAAATGAATTGGGCCACCAGGATTCATCACGCTGGCTTCCCATGCCGAACCGCCCAGCCGAAGCGAGCGTGGAGATGTAAAGGGAGAACCGCAATTTTGGGATTTGGGGCGTCCCACCCAAGTAAATTATTCTAGGGAAACGTGGAAGATACTCTGAACATATTAGCTGTTTACCCATGTTCTACAGGCCAAGTTTTGGTCTACACAGCAACTTCCTTGAAAACCGGCTGAATTCGTGCAGCAGCTCATTTTGGATTGGTTTGATGGTCATCATTGCAGTAAGATGACAGGTCTTTGTGAATCCGGGACACCCGTTTTGTGGCTCTCAAAAGGGACGCATTTTAGCCCTTTGGCCCTTTGGCCCACTGGCCCTTTCATTCGGGCGATGGCTCAAAGTTCAACCCGCACAGAAACTTTTGGGGTCGGTTGGCCATACGCCAGTTCCATGCACGGGGCCGGGCCCCTCGGCTCGCATCCAGGATCAGCGCGACTCCGTGGAGCAGCAGGAGAGAGCGGGGCATGCGCCATGGGTGTCAGCCCTGAAGCCATGGGGCTCCCACAGCCCTGAGAGTGGTTTGAATTGAAGGAAGGGGTGTGTGGAGAATAGGTGGGTGGGTAGGTAGGTGGGGGTAGGGAGGGAGGGAGGTAGGTAGGTAGGTAGGTAGGGTAGGTAGGTAGGTCCAAGTTGCCTTCGGATGCCAAAGGCATTAAAGGAGCACCATAAAAGCGAATCCAAAGGCGGAGGAACTGCAGGCAGAAGTTTCAACACAAGTCCAATCCGGTTCTGAGAAAATCTGCGTGTTTCGTGGTTTGTTTCGTTTCTTTCAGCTGCCATTTCCTGAGGGTCCCCAATGGAACTTCCTACCCAAGTGGGTGTGTCTTGAAGTAGGGAGCCCCACAATGGCGGTTTTTCCATTTGTTTCCTTCGCAAAACGGGCTCCCGTGAAAAGACAGCTCCAAGTGAGCAGCGCCCAAAACTCCTTGGGCAGGTGGTTCTACTGCCTGGTTTTTATGATAGCAACCTGTACAACCATGGTCGGTAGAGCCAAAAGTCAACGGGTGAAGCCGACGCCGGCTGAGTCGGGGTCTTGTGAGTCGAGGGTGGCTCCTTCAGGACGCGCTGATCCGGAAGCGGAAGGCGCAGCGGCGCGCGGAAGGCTTCGAGCTCTTCGACGACTGGCTCCTGCGGCAGGCGGGGCACGGGGGTCCGGGGCCCGCCTCTTTGAAGGGGCACAGGGAGTGACATATGGGTCCCTACCCGGACGCATGCTCCTTGCAGTCAGGGATTGGGAAGTGGCATCTTTGATGACGCCTGTTTGACTTATTTTCGTTTGTACCCCTTTTGGGGTTGTTTCCAAGGGAAGCCACAGAAAAAGCCCGTTGTTTTGTGAGCCACCTCCCCTTTTGGGCGGGGTTGAAACCCACCCATTTCCCCCGCAATGCCCCGGGGCAATTTTCCTTGAGGCCGCTACTCACCTCCCGAGTATCCGGACTTGACCCTTGATCCTTTTTGGGTCTTGACCCCTTGTAGTGAAAAGCAAGACGTGTTGGACTTGTTTCTGGTTCACCATGTCAGAAAGTGAGCATGCTTTCTTACTTGTTGGAGATGTTTTTTGTTTTTGTTTTTTAGAATTACCCGTGGCTATTTTTGGGAGTACCCCTGCGAATTTGAGTTGGTCTCCCTAGAGTCGGTGAGGCGCCATGGGACCCCCACATCACCAGGCCTCGTCGAAGAACGTCCACGCCGCTGGGCTGCGCTGGTCTCACTTAAAGGGTCAGGGGACGGGATCGGAGACATCGGAGGCCCTTCAGATGGACAAAGGACATGTTCTGTTTTTTTTGTTTTGTTTTTTCTCCATGGGGCGTAGCTCATTTTTTTTTTTTGGGGGGGGGGGTGCAAAATGAAACGCTGGTAAATGGACAAGTGGCAAAGCCGGTGCGGTGGGTTTTGCCTTGGTATTTGGGTGTTTTTGTTTTGTTTATTTTTTGGAACCCAGAAAAATGGCTTCGGTTCTCGGTTTGGTATCCCTTTGAAACCACCAGAAGAAGGGTGCCAACTCCAAGCAAAGACACCCAAGGTTGAGCGACCAAGAACATGCTGCATTCGTTGGGATGGACCAAGCCCATTAATGTTTGAGATAGACCACCAAGCAACTGGTGCAAAATGGATTTTGTCTATCCACAATATGTTTGAGAGAAGCATTGGGCTCCCCTACACCCCAAAAAGGTTCTCGCAAGCCTTCTAAGACCACCTTCTAAGCACGCCTTCTAAGAAGCCCTTCTAAGAAGTTTCTAAGCACTTTTCCTGACCGGTGGGGGCCGAATTTTGTCGCTGACCACAACAGACCTTGGGTCGCTTTTCTGCTTTCCAAGCTGAGTAAAGACCAAGCGCCAACCAAAGACCCGTTCGACACAAAGGGCCACAACATACGTGCCCTTGTGAATGTGTGCGTGGGCGGGCTCCAAAAAATGTGTAGATGAAGCGCAGCAAGGGACAAGTCCAAGCCAGACGTAGGAGGGGATGTCCGCCCTGTTGATTCTTATCCCAGGTTTTAGGTAGACTCCCAGGTTTTGATTGAATCTTACCAGCAGCGGGTTTTGGTTTCCCCACAACCCCCTTGAATAAGAAGAGGGACTCCGGAAAGCTCGTGGCTCAGCTCAATGTGAGCACGAGCACACTATGTGCTTGATTTCCTCTTCAAACGCCATAAGTTGGGTGTGCTACGGTGGATGCCCTTGGTATTGCAAGTAAATCCACCACAAACCATCGGAATTTACAGGTTTTCTCTTGCTCCCGATTTCTTTGGGGGGCATCTACCGTACATGGGATTTCGCACGGAAACGGTCACCACAGACATCGGCGAACACAAAGGGAAGTTTGACACATTGGGCCACAAGATGGGATGCAAGCCATCAGCCCCAAGCAGCTTCTGCCTCAGCGGATTTCGAAGCGGATTCGGCGAGGTGGAGGTGGTGTTGGAGGCGCCGGTGAGGGCTGAGGAGCTTCAACTTCACGAAAGCGAGGAGCGGACAGACGAGGGGGAAGTGGATTCCTGGATGGGGGTGTCCTGCGTTTGTCTTGGAGTTGGCACCACGTTTTGGGCATGAGTTGGAGGGAAGAAGGACACCCTGGCCATTTTAGGGCAACCGATCCCTATTTTGAGACAAGCCCAAGTGGAGGATCTGGGTGCTTCTTTCTGAGGGTCCTTTTTGGGTTGGTTGAAAGGGACACCGAAAGGGCAACCGAAGCCCGTTTTGAGGGTCGCCTTTTGACATACACCCAAACAAGGAGAGACATTGATTGCCCCGGAAGGTCATGACCCCAAATGGCTAGGGAGGGACGCTCCCACGGGAATCAGGAATCGGTGTGCCATGGTCAAACCACCCTTCAGGTAACCCGTCAGGTTCCGGAACACCTGCAATGATCAGGGTTAGGGGTTTAGACAACTAGACAAGGCTTGCCTCTTGAGGGAGCCATGACCCACAGATTCGGAGCTACCACTCATACGCCCGCGCCATTTACTTTTTTTGCAGGACCATGTTGTTTGCGTTGAACCAAATGGGTTGCGTTCTCAAGCAACTGAGTTCCTGGACTTGCTTTTTGGGTCCCCATTCTAGCGGCAAACCTTTGGACAACGTTTGGACTGGACTCTTTTGGTTGCATCCGCCACAATATCAAAGTTCAGTTGGAGGTTTTCTGCTGTTGTGACCTCAGTAGGGAATGAGAAATGGCATGACCCCGCCATCCAACTGGTGGTTTCTTCTTTAAGGGAATCCCCTAATCCCTGGTTCATTTTCCCACATTCCCTACTTCTCGCAGGTCGTTGGCTTTGCATCCCGCTTCCCTCGGGACGGGCGAGGGGTTCTTGCCGAGAGACGCCCGCGTCCCAGGCGCTGCGAAGCGCGCCGAGTCCGCCGGAGCGCCTGGAGGCCATCGCCCTGGACTCGGAGGCGCGGAATCGGCGCGGAATCGGCGCGGAAGCGGGGCGGGCGGACGTCGGGGGAGGCGAGCGGGGCGGGGAAAAGGTGGAAGTACATAGGTGTCCCTTTTTTGGGTTAGTGTGCTCAAAAATAAATGGCAGTGGTTTAGATGGGCTTTTATTCCATTTACCAGGGCCATCTATTTTTCCAAAAGGACACCTATGTGGAAGTAGTGAAATACGGCTGGGGGCTCCTCCAAGAGTTTTTTTGTTTTGCAAAATAACAATAACAATGATAATTGCTTCTTCTTAGAAGGTGGACTAAATAGGAATGATGATACATATATATATATATATAAATTATATTGAGTATACATGCCCTTGGATACATGTCACGGTAGTACAGCTTGGTCTCACCGTGGCTGTACATGTCAAGGCCTTGAGCCTACAATCTTCCCAGACAAAATAGAGCGACTACGCGCTGATACACATCACAGGTCTTTCACATCAGGCAATCAGGTAGCATTCAGTTTAACATGGTAGCGGAGCACAACTGACTACAAGCATCACCACACCTGGGAAAGATCCAACCAACCAAAGTACACAGTAGCACAGTAAGTGACAATGGCGGCACAGGGGAGTGGACAACAGGCACAACTCCAACAGCAACTGTCAGGAGTCCACAAGTACAGAATATCACCACCACGATTCAGTGGCGAATACACCACATTCGAAGAATGGAAGTACAAGATGACAGCATACCTCGGTTTGCAAGAGTCATCATACAACAGACTACTGAGTCAAGCGGAACAATCAGCACAAGCAATCACAAGCGACCCACTGGAACAAGCCGCGCCAGATCAGGACACAAGGATGGCTACAACTCAGTGGAGATCTACACTTTCTGCTCGTCAACACATGTGACGGAGCAGCATCAACAATATGCAGACAGAACATGCTCGGCAATGGTTTCGAGACATGGAGACAACTACACCTACGTTATGCGCTGCCACTTGGTACAAGAAGCATCGGTTACCTCACCAAGCCACTCAAACCACAACAAGAGAGCTTTACAACATGGGAGTTTCAACTGGCCAAGTACGAACAAGACAACAGGACACTACTACCGGATGCAATCAAGATTGCAATCCTGCTCAACGAGACAAAAGGTCCACTACAACAGCATTTGCAACTACAAGCAGGCAATCTCACAACCTACGCACAAATCAGATCACTGGTTGTGGAGTACCACAGAGCAGCATCACAATTCGTCAAACTACAAGCGGCTACGAGTAGTGACAACCAAGGTCCAGCACCACTGGACACAGGAGCAACATGGTACAACAAAGGAAAGGGCAAGAAAGGACAAGGAAAGAACAAAGGAAAATACAACAGAGGAAAGGGCATCAGTGGCGACATCAGGAACCTGTACCGAAGCTACAACCTGGAGAATGGCTACATGGTGCTGCAGCACATCATCCTGAACATCGCACAGATGTTGGACGTCGAAGACAAGTTCGACAGGAAACATGCAGGCTTCTCCATGGCCATCACCCAGTACACATATGCCTCGATACAAGCGGTGCCAGAGCCACTTCGCACAAGGCTCTTTCACTACATCTTGGAGAACAAGCTGCAGCTGGTAGGAGATGCTACAGTTTTGGCCCCCGGACAAGCTGGCTACAGCGATCAATGCATGCGAGAAGTGGACAGCGCAGTGATTCTGTCACAACACAATGGCTACAAGATGATGCACAGCAAGCGAATTCAAGAGGAAAACAACTGAGATGGTTGTACAAGAGAAGTACAATTTTGGGCCCATGTGGCACACCGGACTCATCTACGAGTTTGGAGCACAAGCTCCTGACCGCCCACAAGGGACATCGATGTACAAACAATCTGTAATCTGGTGAACAGTTTTCTCAGATGCTTTTTACATCATCCCGAACCACAAGGTCATGACTGTACATACAATACATTTTAGAGATACAGTTACTCTAAGGAGGCGTGTTAAGAGTATACATGTCACGGTAGTACAGCTTGGTCTCACCGTGGCTGTACATGTTAAGGCCTTGAGCCTACAATCTGCCCAGACAAAATAGAGCGACTACGCGCTGATACACATCACAGGTCTTTCACATCAGGCAATCAGGTAGCATTCAGTCTAACATATATATATATATATTTAGGAGGGTGGACTAAATGGGTGTCAGGTGTTGGCCATAGCCCTTTATAAGGGGGAGGTGTTCCGTTGAACACCAATGCGAAAAGGGCTTCATCGAAACAACACACACACACAATTCCTCTTGTGTTTGTCCAGGGAGCCATGTGTGGTTGCACAACTACACATGTTTCCAAACCACCCTGGATGGGGTTTTCACCGCATATGCCATGCGCGGGGTGTTCGTTTTCTTCTGTGACTGAACCTTTTGGCGAGTGGAAGGCTTCTCAGGTCTATCTTACTGTTTCGGGATTGCCTGGATACAGTTGCTACTGTTTTCCCAATCTCGCCCTGGGGTGAAAGCTAGATGGGTGAAAAGACAACACACAACTCGTGTAAGTGGCTTTGGGTGTTTCATTCCCAGATTTAGCTTACGTGTATGTTGCTTTGCCTTTCTGGTGTTCCTTCATTGTCCAAAAAGTCTAAGTTCCTTCACTTTTCAAGTTTGGCCCAGTCTACCCATTCGTCCAAGACCTTGGCCAACCCCCGACGCCCAGGAAGATGAGGACGAGGCCGCCACGCCCGGAGCAGGCGACCCGGCGACCCGGTCAGTACGGCGGAACCGAACTCATCTTGAATGCCAAGAAGGGGGGTGTCCACCATTTTGAGTGGGGGTTAAGCCAAGGATGGAGGTTCCAAGAAGGCCTTGGTACTCGCTCCCTCCCCCCCCCAAAGCCATGGAGGTCCATGAGTCATGTTGGCGGATGAAATAACCTTCCACTCACATTGACATGGAAGCTAGCAGCTAGCAAGAAGCAACCTGGACGACGATTTTCCTTGCGGGGTGTTCAAAGGGACCCCCTGAGTGAAAACCAGAGTTCAGTCATTAGCGGCCAACACAAACAAAGTATAACCCATGGTTTGTTCTGGCCATGCAACAAGATCGCCTTTCACCAATCCTTCGCTCACGCCAATCGAGCCGCGAAAAGATTGTTGGCTTCCGCCTCTCTGGGCGACCCCCCCACCCCCAGGGTGCTCAAAGGTGTTTAAAAAGTGCTTTCGGGGGGAAGGGGCTGGGCCAAAGAAAATGGAGCTCTACCAACCCGGCCTAGGTCTTTCAAGGACACCCGGGGGTGGAGGCCTTTTGTTGGTTCTATTGGTACCTTCCCCATTCTTTCCAGGGATCCTTTCCGAAAACCCTCACCAACCCCAGAAGGCGAGGTCCTTCCGGCCGAACCATGGTTGAAACCAGAACGTTTGTTGGTATTCACAGGGAAATTGAATCTTTCCAGGGTTTCTTAGGTGGAGCTCCTTCCTTCTCGGACGAGAAAACTTCTCGGCGAGGCGCGTACCTGGACTTCCTGCGGCGCCGCCTGCTGGCGGAGCTGGGCCCTCGGCTCCATGGGGTGGACGCGCGTGGCCTCGGGGACTCCGAGGACCGGAGATCGGTCCGAGGCCGATCTCCGCGGCCGCGGCCGCGTTTGGCGCCTTGGGGCGGAAGCCTTTTCCTTCGGGTTTGGGAAAAACCACCCCTTTGGGCTGGTTGTAAAGGGAAGCCGAAAAAAAGGGGCCATTTTGAGGGGTCCCATGCTTTGAGACAAAGCTCCTATGAGTCACTGAGATCATGATTGGTGTCTACTGTTGGTTTGTCAGCGGAGCTCAAGCTTGGTCTTTTTGCATACAGATGGCTGCTTGCTTCCGACCTCCGTCCTCCGTCTCTATAGATGTCGAGAGCTGGGGCCATCAAAGGTTGGTCCGTATGTGCGTGATTTGGATTGGTCTAGGTTACTTGGTTTCGCCTTGGCGTAGCCTCAAGGGGATCGAAGACCAACCCAGTGGCTGTTATGGGACTCCAGCAATGTGGCAGGCCATTTCACTGGTCGAAAGCTGCCACTCGGTTTCGAGGACGAGCACCTGCCAAAGAACTTGCGAGGCTCCTTTGACGCCTTGCGCAGCGCGGGGCCCAAAACGGTCAAAAGATGGGCAAGCCCTTGGTACTTTTTTTAACATCATGTTTGGAGGGGTTTCTAAAAAAAGGGGCTTCTTGTTTCGATCGATGGGAATGCACTGAAATGTCTTGGGATGTCTTGGGTAGACCACAAAGTGGGTTTAGGGACCAATGCCTCTGATCACCCCTTCGGTTGGGGTTGGGGTCCTCGAGACAACTGCAGATGTTGGAGCCATGATCCATGGGGAGTTTTGGGCATGGAGGGTGAGTTTGATGTGGCTGTGGGTCAAAAATGGGTACTCAAAATTGCTTGCCCTGGTAAATACAAACGAGGACTGACACCAGTGGTCCCCTGGTAGTCTAATTTTGACCCACGGCCATGTCTTCAAGCACTGTATTTCGGGGTTGGAAGGAAAACCACCAGTTTAAGTGGGTCCCCACTTCAAGACACACCCATGTACAGTCTGTGTGGTGGAGTGGTTTGTTTTTCTCCTGTGTGTTTGAGGTGCTTTGCCTCGGACGCCTGACGAGGACGCGGAAAGGTGACCTATGGCAGGTAGAGGGAAACCAAATGTGGATGTCTTTTTTCGAGGGCACCCCTTTTTGTTGGATCTTAAGGGAAACGGGACCAAACCCTGCAAAAAGGACACTTTCGAATGGATTTGACAGGCGTCCAGCTCCATTTCCCTGGAGAGGCAACAAGATGCGCCAGGGGCGGCCTTCGATGGATCGATCCAGGAACCCGTGCTTCCCTCCTGGGAAGCCTTCTTCGGTGGCGCGGCGGATCTGCTGTACTACGCCCCCCACGCCTTTCGGATGGGATCGAAGGCTTTTGGGAGCATCGCGGGATTTTTTTCTGGGTACTTCAGGGCGCAGGGTACGTCAGGTGAGGGGTTGCGAACCACGACACTTGGTGGACTTACAGTTACAACCATGGCTAGCCACTTGCTAAGTATCCTGCCCCTTCAAGTATGGGTTTTGGCAGGCTTGGTTCTGGGATTGGAGTATGAAAGCGTCACTACTAGTCACCCCTCTTGGGACAATCCTTCGGATGGCGACCGTGGCGTCGTGGGGGATGACCCCCCTGCCCGCCCTTTCAGGTTCCAGAGCCCTTCTGACACTAAGGCTCCAAGAGCCCTCCACCCACCGATTTGCGGTTGGATCGGTGTTCACTGGGAAGACGCCTCCGATCCAAACCACCAATCCAAGCCACCAATCAGGAGCCACTCTTCGTTCTTCTTGAAAACTGCTTTTCTACATTTTGGGGACTTCCCCCTCCCCATGTCATGTCATGAACGACCAGATGCTTAGGGAATCTGAGCTGAGGTGAAGGCGGACTACGCGCCCTTCCTCAAGTCCTGTATGGGCACCGCAGCCCGGGCACCTGGGCCCCTTGAAAAAAACCCGCCTCGCCTCGACCTATGGGTTTTGTCTATGGGCCAGAAGAAAAGGTAGCCTCAGACGCCACACCCGTATTTCGCCAAGAAGAAGGTGGCTTGGCCTGGGCCACCGTGAAATCAAAGGGCATTTGTGTAGCATGCGAAAGGACCAAAAAGAGTCAAACAGCTGTTGACTTGGCACCTCTCGCTGGTGGTTTCGATCCGCCTTCCGCCGGATCGGCGCTTTACATGATTGTGGAATGAATGTTGGTTTTAGGTTGCCACTCCTTGTGATACCCCCGAGAGATCCTCTTGAAAGTGAAGTAGCCATGCTTGGATGGGAATCAACCACTGGCTATTTTGGAAGTCCAGTTCGATTGAAACCATGGGGATGGAATTGCCAAAGATCAGCCTTGGTCGCATTTAGCAGCTTAGGAGTTGACTCCTCCTGCACACAATACCCCGGAATCCCTGGGCGAATTCCCTCCATTCTTACGTTTCATGCCATTGTTTGTCGAAACGGCGCGCAACCGCCGGTTTGAGGCCAACATGCGGCGCTTCTTCCGGACCTTGCGCCGGCCTGAGGCCTTCCATTTGGGTTACCTCCCACCAAACATGAACCCACCAGGAGGTCCCCTGAGGCTTTTGGCCCCCAGGCAAGTTCTAGGTTGGGTAGGATACATGTGAGGTTCGGTCTCGAGGAGTGTGGTCTTACGGGACGAGCAGGGTCTAATTGTCACACAATCAGGGGCTATGCCCCCGAATTCTCTCCAATGGCCTCTTGTGCGCAGCCGGTCAAAATGGCCGGTCAAAATGGCTATGGCCATGAAGCTTCACATCGTTTGTCAAGCTGATTGGCCATTCTCGCGGATGCCTCCAGCTCAGGTTCTTCGAGTCCGTGCCTGAAGCCTTAGCGCTGCTGAAGATCGACGAGGAGCGACCTTTTGCGTAAAAGCGAGGTGCGCCCTTGGAAAGCAGAGAGGGGGTTTAGGGCGATTTAGCGTGGGTTTGGGGTTTGGGGTTTGGGCGGATTTAGGGTTCGTCTTTCCAATTCCAAACGTGGTCTTGGGCCTCCGTTTGATGCCTTTAAAAGGTGGAGGGGTGCAAAACAGGGTTCCCAAAGCATCCAAACAAGGGCACCCCTCCACCACCAGGGCTTGTGCTTACTTTGTTTTGAATAACCATTTTGAGGTGCACTGTGATATGCAACCTATGGTTTCGGATTGGATTTCCTGCCCTCCATTTTGACCCCGAATCCCGAATGAGCGAACGGATGGGGGGAATCTTTGGTTTCCTTCTGGAAAATCAAGATTGGCGAGGCTTCCCCAGCTGAAGTTGGCGCTGGCTCTGAAAGGCTGCCGGGCCTTTCCTGCGTACGACATGTGGGGGGTGTCCCTTTTTTCTCGAGGGTACCCCTCGTTTGGTGGTTTCAAGCGGAAATCAAAGGGAAACACCCACCGTTTTCGGGAGCTCTTATTGCACATGCGCTTAGGAGGGTAAGCCTCTAGCACCTTGCTGCTTGAAACGCCTGAGAACCCGGAACCGTGGGGTTTTGGGGCAAACTTGTTTCCGGCTTCAAACCGAAATTTCAAGGGGAAGCAAGCAACATTTTGGGCTCCACATGACAAAAGGCGTTGTTTTGTCTTTGTCGAAATGGTGCACCCTTTGGACACCAACAATTTTTGAGACCTCCCAACTTGATTTTTCGGACCCAACAGGAATTTGGTTCCTGGCTTCCCTGAGCCGCAAGGTTTTGGTCCGAAAAAGACGTGCGGCCTATGTCGAGTACCCCACTCAGCCGCCCGCCCGCGAGTTTTCCCAGGACACCCGGCGCTGCTGCCACGTGCGCGCGCCCACCTACCGCCCGGCCTCGTCTTCTACCGCCGAGTTGCGCCCGGAGGGGCGATGCCACTCAGGGCGCCGCACCTTGCCGGTGAGGCGCCGAACAGTTTCTTCCATTTGCTTAAGAATATTTTTATTTCCCTTGTTGGGTTTAAAAGGAATTTCTCACTACTGGAGTTTTTTTAGTTTTTTTTTCCCAGGGGTCTTGACCAAATGGAAGGTTTTTGGGCTCGACTCTTCTTTTGGTTGGCCCCGATCCTGGGACCCGGCCTCCTTTTTCCATCAGGGTCGCGCCTCTGCAGCGCTACCTCGTGGCGCGGGGCTTTGACAAGCCGCGAACCTGGGTGGCAGGCGTGGGGGTCGCAGATTCGACTCGGGGGGCGGGGGGTGGGTTACGAAGCCCAGGTCGAAGAAGCCAGAGGGAATGAGCCTCATCATCATCATCATCATCATCACCATCATTTGTTGCTCGACATTGCTAGCTTGAGCCCGTCATCAGACATCCGAACAAATCGCCCGCGGCCCTTGGCCGCAGCCTTCGGCAGGCATTGCCGAGCGCCTGCGCCAGCGAGGCGCTGGAGCGCTGGTGGAGTCTGCACAATGCTGGCCGCCCGCCTAGGCATATGGAGGCTTTGTTTTTGCCTTGGTATTTTTTCCCGTATTCAAGAAGGCCGATTCGCTAACTTACCGTGATTTGCCGTGGTTTTGCGGTTGAGACAAGGTTTTGGGGTTTGCCCGGTGCAAGACGCATCCACACAGCGCACGCTCGCATGCGCGCGCCCATGCGCCCCTGGCATGTTCGGCCTCGAGGTACCTATCCGCGGTGGACCGCATGCTGGCGGATCCCAAGGGAGCCGATGCGGAAGGCGGGTTGTTGCTCCGATTCATCCCAAGCTCGGGGCGAACTGCGGCTAAATTAGCCCATGTTTGATTTGACCCAAAGGGCACCGAAAGGTGATGAGACGTACGTTTTTGTGGTTTTCTTCGAGGTCCCTCGTTCCGAGTCAATTTTTTATAGCTCGTGTTCATAGTATTGGGGGAGGTCTTGGGCACATCCTAGAATCACGGCTCCAGGTCAAAATAGCCCCCCCGCCAGCTTTCTTTCGCTTTAGGCTTATGGAGATGGTCTTTGTCTCCATTTGAGAGAGCCGTGACCGCAACTTGTCGTTTGAACGGTTTGACCATGGTCAGGACTTAATTTGGTCTTGTACCCCAACCCCGCATGCCAATGATTTCGCACATTTTATCAACACATTATCGTTTTCCTCTTGATTTCCCTTTAAAATAAAGGACCACCCCCTCGCCCAAAAAAAAACACAAAAAAAGCAACAAGAACAACCAACCAACAAACAAACAATCACACAAACAACAAAGCACGCCCATTTTGACTCCACGGCTAGGCGACAACTTCGTGGCGTGGCTGCGCGCGGTGCTTCCAGAGGTCTTCAGAGACATCGACACCTACGACCCCCCGAAGCTGCGGCGCAAGCACTGGGCGCGGAGCCGAACGTCGAAGCGGCGCTACAACCTGCGCTTCGGCCGCGGAATGTCGAGTGAGGGTATGGCTCCTCGAAATTCGGGCACCCGCAACAGTGGCAGGGGTTCCTCTTGGGTCTTTTTTAAGAAAACTGTTCAACCTCCCTTTTGGGTTGTTTTTGGAGTTGGCACCCATTTTCGCTTGGCCTTGGAGAGGTGTTTTCCCTGGGAGATGGATTTTGCAGGGACAGGAGGGGCGCATCGTTTTCTTTCCTTTTTTTTTGTGGGGGGCCTATGCGATTGTGGCTTTTCTCGGTTTTCGTACGGCATGTGCGGGGAGGATGGGGGGAGATTCTTGCCTACTTGGGAAGAGGCCACAGGAAGTAGAAGCAACAGCGCAGAGATTTGCATAGACATGGCATGCACGACGCGCACGGCGCACTGGCGCCCGATCTGAGGAAAGACATTCGGATCCCATCGATTGAAGAAGCTTTCAGAGGATTTTGCAGAGCCAAGAGGCTGGCGCTGTGTAAACTCAAGTGTCAGCTTTCGCAGAGAATGAGTTGGCATGACAACCCGAAATGATTCATCCCTTGTAGTTTGTCTTCAAGTGCATTCCTAGGTTTGTTCCCAAACCTTTGGATTCCCTGCTGTGAACCGAACCCCAAGTCACTTCCCACAATATCGTTCAATGCCTTGTGCAGCCACCGGATCTGGGAACGGTTGCCTCTACCTGGGGCCTCGATGATCGTCTCCGGGGCTTTCTTGCAGATCCGTGTGGTTCTTCAGGTGGGTGTGGCTCAAAATTAAACAGGAGGGTTTACGCAGGTTTTGGTCCATGTTTCCACTTCCCAGGGCAAGCCATTTTGGTACCGGTTTTTTGAGCCACAGCCAGGTGGACCCTGACACTCCCCCGAGAATCGGCTTTCGGACGCAGGTCCACCGCTCGCGAGCAGGTGTTGTCAAAGCACCTCGGCTTCACATGGCATGGTCAGAGGACATGTCGGTCAACTGAGATGCGTGACCTTTTCTTTTGCCCTCACATTTCGGAAAGGAAGCCATCGTCATACCAACCAAGAGGGCTACCTTGTTTCGACACATCGCCACCTGCTGCTCTGGATTTCATTGTAGGACGATGAACATTCTGAGCAAAAGGGGGAAACACGCAAGCATTCCTAAAAATCCTCAAGGAGGTTCACGTCTTGTGCACTTGCCCAGAAGATACCGGCTACCAGTCTGTTTTTTTTGTGTGTATTGAACTGTTTTTGTTTGTGTTCAAAGGTGAGTCAAAACGAGCCGACTCAGTTTTGGGGACTACCGCCGTACCGCATTGGACACCCACGACGAGTGCCCAGAAGTTCCAAGATTCCTCAAGGTGGGCTCTGTCACACCGGGGAACCTTGAGCGCCCAACCCCCCTTGCGAATGTGCGGAGTAGGTGGTTCCACTACCTAGTCTCATTTGGGTGGTAGTACAACTAATATAAAGCTTGAGTCATCTTGGTAGAAACAAGAATCAGGGAGTTTGCGCACCGCTCACCTGAACTTTGTGTTCCATCCTTAGTGTCCTCTTTTAGCTGTACCATCGGCAACAGGAGACAAAGACAAAGACAAAGGGCGCTGCTCACCTGGTTCCCAGGCCAAGCACCGCGTCAGGCCAATAAAAGCCCGAAACCGAACCAACCAGCCGCAGCAAAATCGCATCCAAAAAATATACACATGTTCAGACCTCCAAACAGGCTTCCCTCAAAGGAAGAAAGGCGCTTCGAGGTGGCCAAAAGCCCAGCCCGGGGTCTCGGGGCTTGGGTCGCGGCCGCCGCATGCCGAGGATCATGGTGGACATTTTTCAGCTGCGCTGCGCGGCAAAACTGAGCCAAGCGTTGAGAAGATCGGCCAGGTAGCAGTTCCATGCTATCTATGAACTTGTGAGTGAGGTGTCCTTGGTTACCCGGCTTCGGTGGTTTGCACATCACCCTGTCGGTTTGTTGGGGTGATGTTCAGAGGGGACATTCGTTTGTGTTTTGGCAAGGTCTTGTGGAATCCAATACCATGCATGCCAGCCCAGCATCCGTTTCATCTGGGAAGGCATTTTGGATGGTCTTTGGGGTCTCTCTGTTGCCGTTGGACACATGCGGTGGATCTCGGTTTGTTTGAGGTTTCCAATAAATCCAACATGTAAGTTTTTAAGAGTACACCAAGATAAACACGGGAGCAACAACACATCCAATGGATTCCAATGGACCAACGAGCAAATGCACCATTTGGGGACTGAGTCCAGGGCTAAAACGAGTGATTCGGTCAGCATTTCACAGCGTAAAAGTAAGTTTGTAAATAGGTCTCCTTTTGATTGCTTAGTTTGGTTAGACATCGATGGCTCCACTGGTTTAGATTGGTTTGATAAACCATTTACCAGGGCTATGTTGCTTGCCAAAAGCTCACCTATGCACGCAAACTTTCCCTTTTTGCCCCCCGCCCCCCAGAATTTTGTTTTCAACATCGCCTTTTGGGCCAACGGTCAAGTCTCCTTCTGGTGGTAGGGGAAATATCGGGGAAGGGAAATCGGGGAATAGGGGGGAGAGGGCTTCAGCAATATATTCTCCTTTTCACATTTCAACATGGCGTAATGGGCCTAAGTTTTTTTTTCTTTTTTTCTTTTGTGACACCAAAGGTCTTTGGGCTGGTTGAAGGGAAGCCAACATCAGATAGCCCTTAGTTGGTGGTTTGGGATTTGGACCCCAACTTAACCACCAAACCGCCGATTTGGCTCCAAACCACCAATCAGAAGCTGAACTTTGAGGGGTCTGACTTAAAGGGCACCAGAGAAGAAAGAAGAACAGGACACCAATGAATTTCGGGTGCCCCAAAAAAATGACACCCATGTTTTTTGTGTCTCGTGTGCCCCTTTGCTGGAAAGAGGGAAGCTGAGAGGCCGCCTGCTCCAAGGCTCAGTGGACCTGGCCATGATTTTGAAGGCCGCGGAGGCGGGCCTGGAGGCGCCCAAAGCCCAAAAGGTGGCCGGCGCCTCGGGGGGTGAGGGCCCAAGTTCCCAAAAAGTCTGGCCCAATCTTGAAGTGAAGACTTTGGGTGCTCTCGAAATGACTTCTGGAGGTGCTGTTGGTATTAAGAACTGCCCACTTGCGGGGAAGTCTGGTGGATTGTCGCTTTCATGGACCCCTAAAATGGCTTCCGAACAAGATGTTGCTCAGAAAGACCATGCTTCCAAGGGTACCCTTTTCGGGGTTGGTTTAAAGAGAAACCAACGGAACACCAACAATTGCTTTGGGCGGCTCCACCCCCCAAAAAAAATGAGACACTTCCAGGGGCTTCTTCTTCCAAGGGTACCTCGGAGTTTCGGGGCCCGAGGTGGTGGTCTGCTATGGGGGCCTGGACCACACCCGGAACGTGGCGAGGTTCTTTCGGGCCCAGGCCTGCCTGTGACGCCCAGGTCGGCAGAACTCCCACCCTCCCAACAAAAAGGTCGCAGCCTGTGGTTCCATCTGCCTGCTTTTTCAGGTAACCTTCCATTTGCTTAAGAATATTTTATGTATCTTTTCTGTTGGTTTTAAAGGGAATCTATCACTACTGGAAATATTCCATTTTTTTTTCATTTCCAGGGGCTTAAACAAATGGAAGCAACCAAGGGGAACCCTTGAAGAAATCGAAATCAACCATGGCGAGGTGTTTAGAGCTGTGACCTGGGCCCTGGGGCGATTTGTTTTTGAGACGGCTGGGCTCTGGTATCCAGGGAGATCGATCCATGCATGGGAACAACCTATATGTAAGAAAGCCGAAGGCTTTAACTAGCCGCTGGGCTTTTCATTTCGATCCTTATGCAAGGGGTTACGAAAGGATTGTTGCTGCCCTTTCTTTTGGGTTTTCTATTAGTGGTTCTGGATTCCCCGTATTGTGAAAAGGAACCAATGTGTTGTTGTTTTTGGTTTTGCTCTTAGTGGATGCTTTAGTTGGTTTTCTTCAGGGGACCAATGTCCCTCTACCCAAAAATACCCACTGCTTTGGGGTCGATTCGGAAGAAAGTCGGGGTTTCCATGGTAAATACGTTGTTTGATTCGAGTCGGGGAGAAACATAATAGCCTTTTGTAGACACCAGGCGGGTATTCGGGGTTTGGTCTGGACCCATTGGTCCTCCCCCCCCGCCCCCCGTGTGCGTTTTTTCGCACAGGGCTTCAGTGCGGAGGGCCTGCCCCGCAAGGGCCTTCTGGGCCGGGAGGAGCCTGGGCCTCGGAGAGGTCGCGCTGAAACGAAGAAGCCCAGCTGACACGGGCAGTTTGGTTACCAAGTCCCCCAGTAGTGCCCTTTTACCAACTTTTTTGGGGGAGGGTTCCCCTAAATTAGACTACAGAACAAAGGTTGGTACCCTTGTTCTGACCTCTCTACTGGAGGACCTGGGTTAGAAAATAGGTAGCACTGGTTTAGATTGGTGGGTTAGGGCCATCGATATTTCCAGTATGGGCAATATTTTCTCGGCGTGTCAGTGGATAGGCAGCATGGACCCGAATGGGGCTTGGGGGCACTTTTGGGACGGTTGATTCCAAGGGAGATGCATGCAGTTTGGTCCCTTTGCACTTGGATCCAACTGGATCTGTCTCTTTATCAGGGGTTGTGGATCCCCCTGTTGCAAGCTATTTCTACTTTCGAACTGGGCATGAAAGCTCCTGGGTTTCTGGCCACTAAGGTTTGAGGAGGATGAGAGGAGGACGGGGTCGGGGAGAAAGGCTCTACGGGGGCATAACTGCCAAATGGGCAGTGGTCCAATCCTGCGATCCCCTGCCCCCAATAAATGCAGCTTCCCCTTTCGGACCGCAGGTGTTGGGGCACTTCTCCATTGTCCAGGGTTCCATTTTGGGCCCCTGTTTTTGTGCCACGCCCAAAGATTAAATACTCCGCCCGGGGGAGAAAAGAGGATCAGTGATTAATGGGCATTGACCGTTCTGAACGCAGCTTTCTGAACGCTAGGACTCTCGCTCTGCCGCCATACCTGCAGAACCTCGAGCAATTGCTCCTCACCGCATCAGTGTTGTGTTTTTTCATTCCAGGCTACCCCATGAATCCGGAAATCGCTTGGTGCCCTTCTTTGCGTGGGCCCGCTTCATTCAACGGTTGACAATTGGGTGCAGAACCCATCTGACAGAATCGTTTGAACCCGTGGATTGCAATCCATTTCTTAGAACCCAACTCACGCCGCTTTGCCGCCTGCAACTCTGAGCCGCGTGAGGTTTCCGGTTCCGGCGGTCAAGGATGCAACCAAAAGACGCCGGAGAACTCTAAGTGCCCAAGCTGCATGTGGGCCAACGTCGTGTGCCCTGTTGATACCCGAATTGAGCCACAGTCAATCCAGATGAAGGGCAGCAAGGGACAATCCCAACCAAACAAGAGCACCCGTTTAGTTCTTTGCATGGCTTTCGGTAAACCACCATGATGTTTATTAGGTGTGACCCAACTAACTTGATCTCTTTTTGGCTCGGGACCACCTGAAAAGGTTCCTGTAGGAATGGTAGAATTCGAAACCATAGTAATGCAGGGGAGGATAATTGAATCTGGCACGTGGCAGGGCTGAGTGAATTGCGGCTGGAGTGAATTGGCATGTGGGCGCGTCTCCTTTGCGGGTACCACGTGATTGGGGTTTAAAAGGGACGCCAAAAAGAAAGCCGGTGCATTTGAAGGGGCACCAACTGCTCGTGTCTTTTTTGCGGCCAACCTTTCTGCCTGCGAGTTGGGACCCCCTGTTTGGCCTGGCGGAATTGGGATGCAAGCAAAGCTCCAGGCAAAGCTCAAAATGTGTCTTGGAAGCTCGCATGGTTGGCTTGGCATTTCCAGCAGGTTCAGAGTTCATAACCCCCAATTCCACCAAGAAAAGCATGGGTGTCCAGTGTCAGTTCTGCTGAAGGGTTTCGGAGAGATGGAGGACCCGGAGTCCACAAACTTCGACGTGTAGTGGCTACCCCTGCGGATACTGGTTTGAGGGCAGTGGAGGAAGGTGTTCAAACTCCAGGGCGCCAGAATTTGCCTCTGCATGCGTCGGCTTGAGGCCTGAGATGAACATTCAGCTCAGCAGTGCAGGCAATTTGCCTTTCCCCCGACTCCAAATACCCGCTTTTTAACGGGTGTATGTGGAAAAAACAGGTTTTCCATGGCACGTACCTCTGTTTTTAGGCAAGCGTTGGACTTCGCACCCTTAAAAAAGGGGATGTTGGGTGTAGGGGATTGTCCAAAGGATCAGCACGTGTCCCGCGGTCAAAATCTGCGAACGTTACCAATGGACATGGAAAAGTCGGGGTTCAGTACCCCGTTGGTTTTCTTTCTGGTTATCAGATCTTGTGAGTGCCCGCATCCCGGATTCCCATTTTGACCGAGCACGTGGATGGGACGTCGATCTGGCTGGCGGGGCTTCGATCTCGCTTGGGGCGCGCGACGAAACCCTGAGCCCCGAGCTGCACGGCGTCCGAGAGGCCAGCGGGCGCTTCATTGCGAAGTCTGAGGCGGATTTTCCGGGATGGTGAGTCATCTCCTCAGAGGGCCTCAACTCGAATCAATTGGACCTTCCAAGAATTCGGGTGCGATTTCTCGAGTTGAGATCCTTGGGGTCCCAATGCCTCCTGATGTCGTTGTGGCCACAGATATGGCACCAGGATGTTACATGACAACAAAGCAGCCCAGCCAGGCTACAGAACCCTTTAAAGTACCTTCAACACCTGGATTTGGTGCCCAAATCGATGTTGCCACAATCTTCCTGCCCGTGCATCCCGAATTCGAGCGAGTCATACTCGAGTTGCTTCTTAGATTCTTGGCCTGAGCCGGAGTGTTGGCACCTGGCCCAGAGAAATCGCGCCCTCAGCGGAAGACGTTGTGGGGTTACCATCCGTTTCCGGATTTTCATGGAATCCCAGTGGCCCGGGAGCCGTATGCGTGAACAAAAATGCGTGAGTGACTGACGTGACGCTCTGTGGCGAGCCCAAAGACTTGGCAGGTGCAAGTTGCGAAAATAGGCCACTTGGGGGACTCAGTTCCCACGCTCAATTTCCCAGTTCCCAGAGAACGAGCCTGAGTTTTCCCGTCTGGAGAAAACACTCGTAAGTTGGAGCGGGTACCTTAAGGAAAGGAGCATGAGGAGCCCGCCTGCCCACCAGGAAGGTTCTCCACTCACCCTCTCCGAATCCTTCTAAGAAGTTTCTCAGATGTTTTTTTCCCGTAGGGGCTTTCCAAGTGGGGGGGGGGGCCCTAGGGTTTGTCCTTCGCTTTGCCCGCACCGGTTGACGGGCCCAAGGACTCTCAAGGAGGACCGCAGGGGCTGTTTCGCCTGGGGCCTCAGCCGCTCCGGAGCCGGGAGCGCGCTTTTTTTGGGAGGCCGCTTCTTATGGCCCAGGTGGGTTTGGCTTTTGGAGGCCGCCATTTCTTTCTCCAGCTTGGCTTGGTTTGGAGGGAAGCTGAAAGTGACCGCCATGTTGGGGTCCGAGTTTCACACCTCGCCGGGCGGAGGGCAGGATGCGTCTGGCCCAAGGATCCATGCCCTTGTTCAAAAGGCGAACGCACATAGGAGAGACAAAGAAATCGCGATGTGCAGCATCGGTTTTTGCAAGCAGTCTCACAACTGTAAGTTTGGGATTATGAGACACCTCTCACTTGCGAAGTCATGCAGTTGAAACAAGTGGTCCTACCTTTTTGCGATGTGTGAAGTCTTATGGCATCATCAGTGCATTCGTTTTGTTTGAATGTCTTATTCTCTCTTTTGAGCATGACGTTGCTTATGTCCACAAACCTCTAACATGCATTTTGATGGGCCGTTCTTCCAAAAAGGGGCCAGCCCATTTAATCACTGAGCACCAAGCCCATGAATCAGGCAGGCTTCTTCTGCAGTGCTCTTTGATGATTCCTTGCCAGAATCAATAAGTCCCACCCTGCGAAACTGAGAGGTTTCCCAACCTGCCCAAAGATCGGAGGCTTCGCAGCCTGCACATGCCAGAGGTTTCCCAAGTTGCAAAACACGAGGAGTTTTCATCTGGAGAGACCTCGGAGGTTTCCCTCCGCCTTTCAACGAAGCTGCTTTGAGGAGATCCACCTGACCCCCGCTGGGCACCCGGTGGTGGCGGAGCGGGCCCCGCTGGCGCGTTTGCGCCGATTTTTGAACAACGCGGGTGGGCAGGCGCGCGTTTTCCGGCGGTTTCCGGCCCGAAGCAAGACGCTGTCCCTCGGTTCTCAGGGATCATGCGAAGTAAATTTGTAAGCATTCCATAACCGCTTACATTGGCTCAAGAGAAAGCATTTGCTTTTCAGGTAGTTCTGTCCTATCATTAGCCGTCTCGCTGGTACCGTGTGCAGCACCCCGTGCCCAATCCGCATGGTGGCGTTGACGGATGTCACCCCGAGGTTGCGAAGATTGAAGCAGTGGCTGTCGAGCTTGTTAACGGTGGCAGTGCGCAATGCTCCAGGAGCAGTTTCGCAGAGTCCGCCCGTCCAGTCGGTCACCCCGAGAGGAGTTCATGGATTGTGGAGGGGAACCCCACGCACGCCGGATCTACAGGAAGGGCCTAGGCGCCGCTGTTGTAACCAAGTTAGTGCGAAGATGAGCACGCTTTTCCATGGACATCGACATGTGTTGACTCGTTACGTTGCTTCGAAAGCTACAGCCACGGTAAGCAAAGTTACTGAAGTCGACAGCGGACAGCTTTTCGAGAAATCACAGCAACTGGCTTTGACCTGTTTGCCTGTTGTTCTTTTGGCTTTCCATGAAGAATTTTCTTAGCAAAGAAAGATATTTGCCTTTCGGGTTCTGATCTCCCATCGTCCAAGTCGGCGTCCAGGCGCGTGGGCAGGTTCGGGCGTTGGAGCTCTGCGGGCTGCTTGGTGGGGCTGCGGGCCCTGTGGTCTGTCAGGAAGCTGCCGTGCCAGGCGACGAGGCTTGCTTCGTTTGCTTCGATATTCCAATGCTTGGGGTTTTCTTTGCCCAGGTTGCGCAGGCGTACAGCGGCAGCAGAAAAGCAGAACCGAGCTGGCGAAGAAACTCCAACGCAGCCTGATCTGGACCAGCTTGCCGTGTATGGGGGGTACACCGTGGAACTTCATGAGCGGCGACAAGACTCCCCCCTCTGCCAGGAAGAAGGTTGCCCGACACAGGAAACTCTTCAAGCGACCTTGCGCCGTGGGTGCCGCAAACCTTGACCGTGTTCGTTGAGGATTGCCACTGACGTCAAGCTGCTGAGAGCGACGCTCATGGAGTTCAAGTGCGTTAATTGCTGTCAAGATGTCGCCCCTGGTGTTGCTCATCGGAAAGGCAGCTAACAAAGAAGTTGCAGACGCAAGCCGCTCTGGTGACCTTTTGGAAGAGGTCCAACTATCCCACGTTGCGGAGCTGTTATGTGTCTCTCTGTCTCTCTGTCTGTCTGTCTGTCTGTCTGTCTGTCTGTCTGTCTGTTTGTCTGTCTGTCTGTCTGTCTGTCTGTCTGTCTGCCTGTCTGTCTATTTCATTGTCTCTTTCTCTGACTCTGGATCGCCGCGCGGTACGTGGGGGACCCCCCCCCTGGTACCCCACGTATCAGACGGCGGGCGGGCGGGGGGTTAGGGGGGGGTTATCCTCTATCCTCTCTTAGGTGTCCGACACGCCGACCAATGTCGGCGGACTTTCATATAGCCACTTTAATAGACCCAACAGTCAATGGGTGAGTAGCCCCTTCTCCTACGGATCAACATCGCGCGCGCCTTACACGCACCCGCGACAGCAGCCGTCCTTTTAGAGCATTGATGGATTCTCGCGAAAAATGATTGGAGCCAAACTGATTGAATCCGTCGATATTCATTGAACTAAACGGGCACGTATGGGTTCAGACGCTCTGGTTCGTTTCTTCACTCGTTTCCTTTTGCGGAGTTTGTCTTATTCGCGCGGCTTCGGTTTCCTCTGGTTTCCCTTTCTCACACCCTACAGACTTTTCTCAATTGTCGGACATTCCCAAACAAAATGCCTTGTCATTTTTCCCGGAATGCAGCTTAGAGCTCTTCTCTTTTTGCTTGCAAATGATGATTTTCCCAATCACCAACGAGTGGTTCACCTTTGGGGGGCTTATCGATCGCCACGTTCACTTCTCAGACTTGGCTCTTGCCAGTTGGCGCTGCGAAGACCGGCTCCGATGTGGCCCAAACCTAAGCCTTTCAACCCATGGGTCGGAGTTGCCTGGGTTATGTCATGGTAGAGGTCTGCATGGTTCTGAGTCTGTATGGTTCTGAGTACTGTATGGTCCTATGGTGCCTCTAGTTTCAAGCGTACCAGTCCAATGGGCGTTCCATATGCCCCAGGGCCCCTTTTCGCTTGGCGGATCCAACATCATTTTTTAAGGTTTTATCAGCACCTGGCTGTGCTTGTTTCTTCAAGTTGTGGGTTCACATATGTTTACTGTACGTGTTTCCCGTGGTTCCAAATGTCGGAAGCCCACGCAAATCAGCCGTCTGCCGGCAATCAAGGCCTCCACCCATTCATGCTGGTCCGCCTCCATTTGCTGCGCATCCCATGTGCGGCACTCGGCTTGCGGGTTGGTTTCCACTTCTGTAACATGAGGGAACCTCCCTTATGGAGAATTCGCCATTAAGGCTTCCCATTGGTATCTCAGAAGTGGGAAGTGCAACCCACCATCCTACTGGCTATACATATCAAAAGCGGAACTATCCCCCCATGAGCCAGTCATGAGACGGCGCTTGCCCAGTCAAGGAAGACGGAGGAATCCCATGGACGCCCCAAACTGGTTTCGAGGTAGGTTGCGGCAAAAGTCCTCCTTCCCTACCTGTTCCCTGCTTGTTAGCCGAATCACCCCTACAAAAAACCTCAATGTGGGTTCTTAATTTTTGTGGACCCCACAGAATGGTTTTGTTCCAGGGAAACCGAAAGGAAACCCATGAAGGGCTTCCTTCTTTGTGAGAGTTGCATCCATGTTTCTGAAACTGGAACTTGCATACGGTATGGGTACGTGGGGCACCGGGCATGTAGCTACGTACTCCCTTTGCCACTTTTCTGCGTGGGGTGTGAACTGAAAATTAGGGGCTCTTTGGTGGACATCAGAAAGGGGGAGCGAATTTTGCAGCTATGTCCAGACACTTTGGCAGGGGTTCCCCAATCAAGCTCGCTGCCAAGTGGACCATGGACAACTCCGGACATTTTGACTGAACCTCTTGTTTGTGTATTCATACCAAAAACCGAGCCACGGCCTCAACAGCTGGGCAAACGAAGGTCCCAATGGAGCTGGTTTATGGGTCAGGGGCTAACCTCAAAATCCTCGCGCTGTGATCCGCAGATCCGCCCCAGGATCCCAAGGGACCGCAGCAAAGAGGGTCGCCGGGAGGACGACGTGGGACGGGATCTGGAGAAGCAACGGGCAAGCCCACGGAACTCTCGCACGGAAGCGGACGGAGCCAAAATTGGAAGACCATCCTGGGAGTCTGTGCGGTTCCAGTTTTTTTGTGAGGGTGACTCGTCATTCTTGCAAGTTCCAGTGGATTTGTTGAGGGTGACTCGCGTCATTTGCGCATTTGTTGCGACCTGTTTTTCCGCCAGGACCGCAAAGAGAAGGATAGAGAAAGAGAAAAGAGACCCGACAAAGAGGAGGCCCGCGAGGCCGCCCGGGAGCGGATGCCCAGTGAGAAGGATACTGGGCGAGCGGTGGCGGTCGAGGCCCTCTCACATGGTTGTTGTTGGGACACATTTTACATTTTTGCTTCTTGTGGTTTGGTGGGAAATCCCCACTTGACTGCTAAAATTCAAATTGTGGCTCCCCTTCCAACGTCAACCAAGCTCAGAGACATGGAGCCAACCGAAATTCATTTTATTGCTTTCCTTGTGGTTTCCCTATCAAGCAACCTGAAAAGGGTACTCTAAAACACGCCCAGGGAAGCTTCTGGTCCGTTCAACTTAAGGCATTGGAGCAACCCGGTCCCGAAGGGGCTGCTTTCTTTTCTGTGACAACGGCCCCCGAGTTTCTGGAGAGAATCGAGCCACATTTTCAGGCCATCCTTTCGCACAAAAGCCCCTCCAAAGACTTCCGAGAAAATGACACATACCCCTTCCCTTCGACCAATTTTCTGCCCTTAAGATGGATGCGGTCGAATGGTGGCTCTCGCGTTGCCACCCTTTTAACTCACAAAGAGGTAGCATTTGTCCCTGCAAGGGGAATATCATAGCCACAGCTCGAATCTCCAAAATTCGTCATTTACATTTTAGGGCCGAAATCTGAAACAGAATCAGAACCTTGGATCTTCTATGCACAGATTCAGGGGCCACAGTAGATTCTCTATGTGCCCCTCCTGCAGAAAGTGAACATCTCGAGCCCGGTGCCATTGGGGCGTGTCTGTTTTTTGGGGACCCCATAAATGAATTCCGATCTTCCTCCTGATTTCCCTTGAAAGCCACCAAGAAAAGGGGTACCAACTCCAAACTGGCGAGCCGTCCATTTTTGGGGCGGGTTTTGTAACCGGTGTCCCATGGCGACACCGCCCTGATGGATCTGAGGCGTCCAAGCAGAGCTTCTTCGGCTCCCTGCCCGCCGATGCCGCTGGGCTGCATCCGCGTTGTTCGACCTTCTTTTTCTCGGGAGAGAAGGAACAAGCCGGTAATCATTTGGGTGCTTTGCCTTGCTCAGATATACATATATATATATATATATCGAACCCAGAAAGGGGGGGAGCAGAAAGCAAGGATGACCCGAAAAAAGGAGATGTCTGTAAGACACGCGTTATGTTTGGTCCATGTTAATCTGACCATGACCATGATACATACATAAGAAACTTTGACCCTGGCACATGTGAACGGAGAACACTGCAAAAACATCTGGTGTCCACTTCCGTGTTGGAAAGAGAGCAAAACGCCAGTGTTTGTGGCAAACGGTCACAATTCGACCCTGCAGGGTTTTTTGCTGATCAGAGACGGGTGTGCTCTCTCGTTTGATCAAAGCAAAAAAACAAACAACTAAACAAAAGCCATCAAGCAACTCGACCAATGGAGACAAGCAGAACAATCACCAGACGGACGAGGAAGTATGGGGTGAAGATGGGCCGTGGAACCGCGGAGTGCCAGGAGCTGACTGAGAAGGAGCTAGAGCTTAGACAGGCGCGGGGGCGATCTTTTTTGTGCCGTCCACAAATTGCCGGTTTCATTTTGGAGTTGTTTTTCTTCAATTCCTTATGGGTCTGCGTGTTTGTTCTTCTTTGTTCTCAGGGTGCCCGGTCTTTTGTGGCTTTAAAGGAAACCGGAAGAGGAAGCACTATGGTTTTTGCTTGGCTTCCCGGGAGTGTGTTGGCGAAGGCCCGGTATGGGGCATTTTGCTTATCTGTTTGTTTGGCTCCATTTTTTGGGCTCGGTGCCTTTTGTTGTTGTTGTGGCTTTCAGGGTTAAGCAACAGGAACACGGCCATTTTTTTGGGGGGTCCCCTAAAAGCAGGACACACACACACACACAATTTGTTGGCTTCTCCACGAATTGGTTGGGTCCATGTTAGCACAAGAGCCGGCCCCCCAGGCTTAGGCAGATTTTCCAAGGGGGGGTTCTCGAAATGGTTCTCAGAAGAGGGGACTCTCCAAATTGGTGGCCTTCCTTTTGTCTCCCTCTAAAACCAAAGGGTACCCTAAAAAGACCCCCAATTTAGGGACATCAGCAACGCTTTCCTTTTGTTTCCCTTTACCCAACCCAAAAGCACGGGCTTCTCCGAAATCTATTTTGATAAACTCTCATGTGCTGTTCTGGCCGAGATTTGCTTCAAGGCCAGGCGGGATTTGGGCGTGTCGGTATAGGGATCCCCTAAAAAAAGGAACGTGGTTTTCCTCTTTCTGCTTGGTTTCCCTTTAGACAAGACCTGAAAGGGGCACTTTCGAAGAAAGGCCACGAGCCCGTGCTCAGATCATGATCGATCACATGGACCGGTACTTTGCCAAGAACCCGACTGGCGAAGGGCGGGGCACTGAGATGCTGATTTTATCCAAACTCCCGAAAACCAAAACACATTTGTAGGTTCCATGTAGGTTCCATTTAAAGTTCCTTATTTGCTTCCATTCGCTGAAATGAATCTTCTTGATATTCCCTTGTTGGTTTCAAGGGTCTTCAGCCCTAAGACACATATGTTTTTGAACCCACCAAAGCCAGGGTTGCGCTGGGTCCGTTTAAGTGGCCTCCAAACTGACCCATTTGGTCGCAGGGATACAAACGCAGCTTCCAGCAAGTTTGAGAACCCCCCTCAACTTTGTGAAACGTCAATCTTTTTCGAGGGGGCGTTTCAAAGGGAAAGGCGAAGGACGCCGATTTGAAGGCGGCTCCAAGCCTCGGGCCGTTGCAGAGCGGCTCAGGCCGGCTCTCTCGTCCATTGCCAGCAGCAAGGCCGGAGAGTCAGCCATCGGGGGACAGGGCGACACCAAAGTTTGGTGAGGCCGTGAACTCGCCATATCCATATCCTTCTTTTCGACGGTTTTTTTTGGAGTCGGACTTCTTTATGGACATATCCCAAGCAGGTCGGTTTAGCTGGCTGTTAGCTCAAGGCCCTTGGAGAAACACTGATTCGAGAAAAAAAGGACGCGCATCGCGTGGGCCGCCTCTGTTTCGCCGGTGCGTGCGGAGCGCTTGGAGGCGACGCAGAAGGTGAAAGGCCAGCTGTTGAGCAAGAGCGCCGGGATCACAGCGGCAATGGCGGCATTTGGGTACTCGTCAAAATGGGGAGTTGACCCCCCAAACTGGGCTCGGGGGTTCTTTTGGAAACCAACCAAAAGGGCTAAACGGCTAAACGGCTAAACTGAAAATACACCAAATCTGGGACTCCGACTGACTGGTGTCAGTATTGGTTTTCCCGCCAACATGACTCTGCACCTTGACGTTAGTTTTCTGTTTGAGCGACTGAAGTAGACATTTGCCAGATCTGATCCGAGGTCTCTTTGAGAGACTGGATTGACAGACGAATAGGCCTGCGCTTCGCACGCCGACCGTTTGCGCCTGAATGCACTGGCGCCCTCAGTTGTTCCGATTTGAGTCCCTGTCTTGGAGACGGACCCAGGGTCGAAATGGAAGCAAAGACTCGTTTTCGTGTCCCGCATTGGAGACAAGCTCATGTTTCCCTTTGGTTCCCCACCAACAGTCAAGCAACCACAGCCCACAGGAAAGGTTAGTAGAACCGTAGAATGTGCGGGATTCTAAGAAGAGTTCTAAGAAGCATTCGGGTGGGATCTGGGTAGGTGCTACTGTGGGTAGACGAAATCGTGCACCACTTGGAAACCATGCTTGAAACCATTTGTTGTTGGTAGGCGAATCGAATCATTCCACGCTTTCCGAGCTTTCTGAAATGGATTTCCAGAATGCTGCAAGGTGATTTGCCCTAGTGTTCGGCTTCGTCGCGAAATGTCTTCTCGACCAGTGCAGCCTGTCAGCCTATGCGGTCTTCGCAGGCGGCGAGGTGGGCACCAGAGAAACTTCCAATGGCCAGGCGAGAGCTCGCGGAAAGCGCAGCTTTCGGGTTGGGGGGGTCTCAAAAACAAAAAACATGGTACCCCTGCGAATTGGTGGTTTTCCTGCTGGTTCTCCCTTGAACCCAACAGAAAAGGGCCCCCCCCCAACCCCAAAAAATAAGTAGCGAAGGGAAAACAGGAGACAAACCTGGACAACCCTCTTTCCAATAAGTTCACGGAAGTGGACAGTCTGACCTGGGGGTTAACTGCAGACTTCCGAAGCCCTTCAGTCCGCTTCCATGACAGGTCCTTTTTGGTGGTTTCGGCAGAACATAGTTGTCAAGCATTCAACCAGGACAATTGTCGGGAAGTAAGCCAACAATGCATATTTTGATGGCTACGGTGGATGCCCCTTCAATGTTTCGAGCAAGGGACCAAGGACATCATTTGCTTGACCAAAGTTTGGCATGGTTCGTTTTGTGGTTGAGCATGGTTGGTGTACTCACATTATGTATAGGTGATAACTTCTTTGTGTTGGGGGCATTTTTGGTCGGTATTTGGTGTAGATGTTTGGCAGATGTTCATGTACTTGTCTTTGGTATTTCGCGGCAGAATGGTGCCAGCTGCTCACATGTTTACATGCATTCATATTCTGTGGACAGCTCAATTCCGCCCACTCCGCGCCGAGATCGCGGTCTACTTCCGCGACCACGAGGCTCAAGAGGACGCCACCAGCCGTCACGAGGGCTGAAGAAACTCTCAAGCAGGTTTCGAAGAGGAACCAAAAAGACCCAGCTATTCGGCTGTGGGTCAAAACCGGTCAAAGGGATCCCATTTTGGTTGGTAGGTGAATTCACCATTGTACTGGATTTTATGGCCATTTCAGGGTTTCCGGATTTGAGATACTCATTTAAGTCACAATCAAAACCTGGTACTGTTGAGCCTTCTGGAATGTGACCCTCATCGGGTTGAACAGTACCAATCCCTGCGACCCTCTTTGGTGGGAAAAGGGCGGCGGGGTGAGTGTGCGTGTCTTGGTTGTACCTGGGCTCGCCGCTAATATTTCATTTTGGGTATTGCCAATTATACATTTAGTATGGCGACTATTTAATCTGAGATGCCTTGTGCTTATCAAGCCCAAATTTACCCGCAAAACATACGTGTCGCCCACAAGGGTCTTAGGTTTAGGGATTTTAGGATTTAGGTCTAGGGTTTGGGTTTAGGGTTTTTAGGGTTTAGGTTTACTTTTTCAGGGTTTGGGGTTTTGAGGGTTTTTAGGGTGTAGGGTGTTCAGGGCATAGGTGTAGGGTTTCCAGGGTTTAGGTTTGCTTGGAGCTGGCTGTCCATCCGAGGCTGGCTTTTCTGGCTTAGGTTTAGGGTTGTGTTGATGATAGCAGTATATAACCAGGAAGAGTCGCCACGCTCCATGAAGGGGGGTATGGAGCATGGAGCTGGGGTGGGGTTCGGGGGGCTCAGAAGTGCGTTTTTGCTGTGCCTGCCACGCTGTTTGGAGGTCTCGGGGACCCGCTTGCGGGCAGTTTCGGGCAACAGGTACGTTTTGGCCGTAAGTTTAGTATTGCCAAGACTTCCATATTCCTCCTTAATTTTGATGCTGCAAGCCCGCCTGGGCGGCCAGGGTTGGGCAGTGGGTTTTTCAGTTCCAAACATTGGGCTGCTTCACGCGACCAGAAAAAACGGCACTGTCAACAAGTCACTGTGCGCGACCCTGCGCAGTCCGAATGCACATCAGCATCTCGCAAGGGAACTTTTCTGCGAGCTTGCGATGAAACGAGCCCAGAGCGAGCGCCATATGACCGTTGCCCTCACCGTAAGATCTAAGACCAAGGTCACTACCCCCAAAACACTACCCCCAAAACCCCCAACAATCTGTGTTTCGGGGACCCTTCAAACTGCTTGATGTTTGCCAATTGCCTGCAGCTGCGTGGCCCCCAGAATGGTGAGTCCCTACCAGCACAGTTCTTCAGAATGGCTTGGCCCGGTTCCCGTCTACCTCGTGGCTAAAAGTGGTGAACTTTTGTGGTCAATTCTCCCGCTGTTCGAGAAGTCCCACGCGGGCGATAAGCGCTACGGTGATGTGATCAAAGAAGATCTTGAGCGGCGAGCCAAATTGGCTGCCAAGAAAGCAAAGCGTTGATGTTCACCAGTTTCACCTTTGTTAAACAAAGGTACCGGCGCAAACCAAGCGTTGATGTTCACAAATTTCACCCTCAAAGCTGATCGCATCGCACCCGGATGAAACACCTGCTGCGGCCTCAGAATTTCCTGGTTTCTGCAGCAGCCAAATATGCACAAATTGAGGCGCCCTTATATAACCCTTATATAACCCTTATATAACCCTTATATAACCCTTATATAACCCTTATATAACCTTTATATATCCACTGGCTTCTGGGGGTAGTGGTTTGGGGGTAGTCAATGTAGTCTTAGATAAGAACCCCTTATCATGGGGCTTGGGGGGCGAGAGAGCCCAAATAAGCCCTAAATAAGGCCTTAGCCTTATTTGAGCTCCCTCCCCTTTCTCCCTCCCTCCCTCCCGCCCTTCCCTCCCTCCCAGCCGCTTGGGGGCAAAACACCTCTCATACAAACAAACACGGGGGCCTCCGAACACGCGCCACATTCAAAACTTCAGGAGCCGGCGCTTGAGCCCGTGGAGGCCTGGAGATGCTGGGGTTTAGATCCACTTCGCTGTATCTGGCGCCCCGTTTTGCTCCCAAACCCCGCCCCCCCGCCCCCCCGCGCCCCCGCGCCCCCGCGCCCCCGCGCCCCCGCGCCCCCGCGCCCCCCGCGCC